CTCTACCACCTGCCACCCCTGGCATAGCAGCATCTACAGGGCCTGCCCTCTGACACAGGTTCAGCAACTAGGTCAAATGCCACGGTCACTTTTTTTTTAAATAAGATTTATTTATTTTTATTTGAAAATAAAAATGTTCAGATTTTACAGAGAGGGGAGGTAGAGAGATCTTCCATCTGTTGGTTCATTCCCCAAATGACGGCAGCCAGAGTGGAGCTGATCAGGAACTAGGAACTTCTTCCTGGTCTACCATGTGAATGCAGAGTCCCAAGGGTTTGGGTCAGCCTACTCAACTTTCCCAGGCACATCAACAGGGAGTTGGACCCGAAGCAGAGCAGCCAGGACTTGAACTGGTACTGATGTAAGATGACGATGCGGGGGGAGGTATCAAAGCATTGGCATGAAGTTTGAAACCGGTTCTCTAGAAAAGATTAGCCAGAGGAATGCCAGAAATCCAAGTTCCCAGAAAATGGTCCAGGATGTGTGTGATGGGGAGGGGTGGCTCTAGGTACATGGCACTTTGCTGCTGTCTTTATGCCACCCAGGGCCTTGGGCCCAGGGTTCACACTGGCTGATACTGGAATTCAACCTTGTCTGTAACACAGAGCAGCTTCCACCTGCCAGTTCACTCCCTAAATGTTTGTAACGTCCTCGCCGAATCCATCCTGATCACCCGTTGGGGTGGCAAAGGGCCCCAGGTACTTGGGTCAGCACCTGCTGTCTCCCAGGGTGTGGTCATTCACAAGAAGCAGAACTAGAAGCAAAGCAGCCGGGACTCGAACACGGTGCACTCCAGTGTGGGATGTAGATGGTGTCGGAAGCAGCTTAACCCACCGTCCACCGTGCCAGCCACATCGTCGCAATATTGATTTGCAGTTGCAAGTCATGATCAGAACACAGGGAATGAGTGTGGTGCTGGGTTCCCAAGTGTCTGTGAAAGAGTGCATGTTAGCAGGGAGCTGGAGTCTGGCGAGGCAAGGCACAGGGGACACCCTTCCCCTAGCCTGGATGCCCCTGGGCCGGCTGGAGTATATCTGGAGGTGCCTATACTCTGGGTGGACCCGCCTAGATCCAGTGGGGTACAGGCCACTGCTATTCCCACCAGCCCACTTTCCTGCCTAGGCTGGCCAATGGGGATGCTGGGTGACAGGGCAGGTGCTGCAGCTGGGAAAGCCAGCATCTCCCACTCTGCTGCTCCATCTGCCCCAGCTCTGCCTTTCTGGGCTCCTAAGACAGGCCCATGCCTGACCTCAGAGATGTCACTATTGAAGCTTCTTTGCTCCACCTGTGTCCCTCCACCAACAGCCAGCGGACCTTTGTCTTGCTTGTGAACATCTGTGCACCGCTGCGGCTGCTGAGAGAGGTTGTAAACTTGGGTTCACGTTGGTCCCTGCGTCGTGGGGGAACTAACTACTGAAGGCACTTCCTGTGCTGACCCCAGGGAGGTCGGCGCTTAAAGCTCTGCTGGAGACACCTGCATCCCCTCTTGGAGTGCCTGGGTTCGAGTCCTGGCTCCGCTTCCAGTACTAGCTTCCTGCTGGCACACACTCTGGGAATCGGCAGGTGATGGCTCCAGTCCTGGGGCTCCTGTCATCCAGGTGCGACATCTAGATGGAGTTCTTGACTCCTTGGCTTTGGCCCTGGCCCAGCGCTGGCTCTTCCTGTCATTGAGGAATGAACCAGCAGGTAGAGGTGCTTTTCCACCTTATCGATTGGCCTTGCCAACCGAGACAATGAAATAAACAAACGCAGGCAGGTGCCACTGGAGGCCAGCTCTGTGTCTCACCAACCTGCATCTCAGAGTGGAAAGTACAGTCTGCAGCCATTGCATGTCGGCACACGGACCGACCATGTCCCCACTGTATACTGCCTGGGGACCTAGCAGGTCCCCACCTCTGGTCTAAGAGAGTGATACCGTGGCAAGACCAGTAGCTGCTGTACCGGGTGGGGGGGGGGTTGGGGGGGCGCTTACCACACCCACTTGACTGCTGTCCAGCATCCTTGTAGTGCTGATGTTGCAAGTTGGGGGTGTGTCCTGGGCACCTGCCTGGTCCAGCTGTGCAGAGCAGCTAGAAGCTGGCACTTGCTTAAAAAAAAAAATAGATTGATTTGTTTTTGTTGGAAAGATTGACAGAGAGACGGAGAGAAAGATCTTCCATCTGCTGATTCACTCCCCAACGGTCCACAGTGGCCCGGAGCTGAACTGATCCGAAGCCAGGAGCCAGGAGCTTCTTCTGGGTCTCCCACGTGGGTGCAGGGTCCCAAGGCTTTGGGCCATCCTCTACTACTTTCCCAGGCCACAAGCAGGGAGCTAGATGGGAAGTGAAACAACCAGGACTCAAACTGGCACCCATATGGGATCCTGGAGCATGCAAGGTAGAGACTTTAGCTAACGGGCAGCTGCATCTGGCCTGCACCTGCTTCCTTTGTCATCACCTCCAGGCCCCTGGGCCAACCGCCCTGGCTTGCAACCTTCCATGTGTTTTTTTGGTTTTTTTTTTCTCCCAAGCGCCAGGCAGGTAGCTTAGGAATGTCTCAGCACATGCACCCCCAGCTGGCTGACTGAGTCCCTAGAGGAGAGGGAGATGGGCCTCTTGGTGGTCTGTGGGGCTGCCAGGAGGAGACAGTGCCAGGAAGATGCAGGGCAGAGAGCAGAGGATCCATGGGATCCCGCATCAAGGGAGGCCTTTGCTTGGCTGTCTGCGTACCAGCAAGGAGACCACTCATGGTGGGAGTGGGGGCCCCCAAGGTGGCCAGATGTTGGAGGGCTTTGGGTGCCTTTGGAGGCTGACTTGTGCTAGGAAATGAGGGAGAAAGAAGGTCAAGGTTGCCACCTTAGGTCTTAAAGCCATGCCAGGAGCCTGTGGTACGCAACTGTGCTATGCTGGGTGGCCATTGGAGTCCCCTAATATTTGAACACTTCAGGGAGACACAAAGGGAAAGAACTCCTGATCAAGCCCTCCAGGGTCAGAATCAAGCAGAGGGAGACCCTCACCCACAATATAGGGAGGGGAGCATCATGGCCTCCCTGCTGTTGTCACAACCCCCACAGGCCTGTCCACCCAGGAGCCAGGCCGTGGCTGGGTGTCCCTTAGCACCAAGAGTGTCCTGACCTCATATGGCTGTGACTTAAAAGCAGACCACCCCGCACACCTCTCCCCAGGTCGCCTGCAGCGCCCCCTTTGCCCTGGCCTCTCTTCCCTGCTCACCTAGGAGGCCCCCAGCCACCTGCCCTCATGTTCTCTGTCCCACGTTGGTTTTCTGTGTTCCTGGGTCCTGGCTTCTGAAAGTGGAAAACTCAGGGTGGCTAGAGGAGATTTACCTGCTGTGGCAATCACAGACCTCCTGGCCGCCCGCCTGCCCAGTGGAGAGACACTGGCAACAACCAGCAGCCTCCCCACCTTCCCTCTCTCTCCCCTCCTTCTACCCCCCACCATCCCCACCCATTTGCCTCTCCCTCCCCAGGTCCCTGGTTCCTTCCTAAATGGATTAAACTCTTTCCCGGAAGGAGCTGGCTGTGGTGTGAGGGCGGCTGGGAGGCCAGGGCTCGAGCGCCGTCTGCCGCCTCCTGCTTGCTTTTGATTCAATTTGAGCTTCTGTGGCCAGGAGTCTGGTGGTCCCCAGGCCTTTCTGGGAATGGGTGGCCAGTGGTGGGTGGGTGGGTGGGTGGCTAGCTGGCTGGCGTGGAGGGAAAGGGGAGCCGCCCTTAGGGGAACTCCCCAGCAGGCAAATCTCCCAGCGCTTGCCTGGCCCCTGGCTGCCTCTGGATTCACGCATATGCCATCTGTGGCCTCTGTATCGCTTCACATCGTAGATTTTTCAGACTTTGGTCCATCACATGCTGGGCTGATGAATGTTGGGATGCAGACCTTGGCTCCCCGTGGCTGCACCTGTTGCACATCCCCAAGAAGCCTCCTCTGTCTTCGGGCAAGGACTGTGGCCTGTGGGCTGTGAACTGAGGACTTTGGCCTGTGGGCACTGGTGGAGCTGCAGAAGCCAGCTCCCAGGGTCCCTGCTCTGGCAGAACTGAAGTTTCTGGGTCCCCAGGAGCTGCTGCTGGTGTGTCTCAGCCACACCCCATTCTAACCGTGTCCTCAGGCGCAGGCAAAGGGCGGGATCAGCAGGTACCTGCTATCTGCTTCTCCTGTATGCTTCCCAGACAGGCAAACAGAGGGACCCTGCCTCTCCTTCACTCCCAGGAGGGTAGGCGCTGGCACTGGGGTAGCTCAGGGGGTGGCCCCTGGACCTGTAACCTGGCTCAGGAAGGGGTGAAGTAGATGTAGGAGACTTCTAAGAGAGCCAGTCTTTGTATCTGGGGTAGGGGTTTACCCTGGCTGGGCGGTACAGAGGCAGCAGTTGGGGCCTCCCGGCAGTAGGGCAAAGTCCACAGTGGACAGCCAGGAAACAGACAAAAGCTCAGGGGCCCCAGGGTGGTGGCCTGGCTGGTGTAGGGGTGCAGGTGGGGCTTGATACTGAGCTAGTGTGCAATGGGGGAAATCCAGAGGCAGATGGGAGGGAGACCAGCAGGGGCCCCTGACCCAACTGGGCTAGGGTGCACCGGAAGTGGGGCTGAGAGCGGAAGCCGTGAGGACTGTCAGCAGATGATGCCTGCAGAGCTGGGAGGGGCGTTGAGGCAAGGCACTGAGCCTGCAGTGGCTGGGCGGGTGTGAAGGACATTGGCCCGTCCAGGTGGATAGTGAGGCTTCCGGGTCCTGGAGTAGGGAGTGAAAGAGAAGAGGGCAGGCAGCAGGTCACCATGGAAGGTGTCTGGAGAGGGACGGTGGTGATGTGAGCCCCATACAAGGGAAGACTGAGCATGGTACCCCAGTTCCCAGATTTGGGGGTACAGATGTGGATTGGAGGGCGTGCCTTTTGTGTTCGTGTGGTCTCCAGGCCTGGGAAGATCCCACCTGAGCAGAGAAGTGGCCCTGAGGGTTTAGGTGCCCTGTCCTGGACCCTCCTGCCCATCATTACTGCCTGCTCCATCCCTCCAGGTGACCATGGCCTTGCTGGGCAAGCGCTGTGACATCCCCACCAACGGCTGCGGGCCCGACCGCTGGAACGCCGCCTTCGCCCGCAAAGACGAGATCATCACAAGCCTGGTTTCCGCCTTAGACTCCATGGTGAGCCCCCGCACTTACTGAGAGAGGGGAGGGAGGGAGAGGGAGGGCCCCCTGCTGGCCTCCGCCCCTTTCTCTGACCTCAGCCCCACCCCCACCACGCAATGCCTAGGATCACCACCTACCCCTGGCCACCAGCACTCATCCAGTCCCCTCTTTATTTCTTTGCTGCCCCTAGCCTGGGCTGCAGCTTCCCGACCAGCAGGTGACTCAAGGCAGTGATTCTGAACAAGCTTCTATCTCTTGTCACCCCCATCTTGGGGCTAGGGGAGAGAACTGGGCATCCACTGCCCACAGCCCTGTTGCCTACCGTGACATCTGAAGCAGTTTATCCCAAGGGAGGATAATAAGCGCATCTCATTCCTTCCCACCCACTGCCCGCTTCCCAAGGGAGAGTTCTATGATGGGGAGGAGGTGGGCGTGAGAGCATCTACTTGTCACCCCTTAGCTGCACGCTTGCTGGTGAGGGCGGGCACGTGGAAGGTATTACATCGGCCAAAAGTCACACAGCATCAGCCGACGAACTCCCAGCAGTAGCGTCTGTATTTTCCTGAGTGGGGGGCTGGCACCAAAGACCTTCTTCTAAGTTGTTTCTGCTGTGGGCAATGGCCTTGGCACCTGCTGGCTCTGGCCGTGACCCCTCTGTCCCAAGTCCCACAGCCCTGTTGGCTGTTGAAGGTAGAGGTGGACCAATTCGGACCCTGAGAAGGAAAATGGAGGGGCATCAAGTTTGTTCAGTTGCAGGATCCTTGACCCCAGTGCTTGGTGGGCAGAGGCAAGCATGGCCAGTTCCCCTAGAGGGACAGGTGTTGGGCACAGCAGCTAGTACGCTGTCAGGACCCCTGCAGACCGTTTCCAAGGGTTGGGGTTCAAGTTCCTGCGCTGCTGCTGGCTCCAAGGAAGACAGCAGGTTGTACATCAAATGCTTGGATCCCTGCTACTCACATGGGAAACCTGAATGACGTGCTGACCCCTCGGCATTTGGGGGCATGAACTTGCAAATGGGAGCACTCTCTCTCTCTAACTAGCTAATTAACTACAAGAAAAAAATAGTCATAAGTTGTTTTTTAAAAAGATTTATTTATTTGTATCGGGAAAACAGACTTACAAAGAGGAGAGACAAAGATCTTCCATCAGCTAGTTCACTCCGCAAGTGGCCACGAACAGCCCGGAGCCGATCCAAAATCAGAAACTTCTTCCGGGTCTCCCACATGGGTGCAGGGTCCCAAGGCTTTGGACCGTCCTCAAGTGCTTTCCCACAGGCCACAGGCAAGGAGCTGGATGGGCAATAGAACAGCTGGGACATGAACTGGCACCCATGTGGACTCCTGGTGCTTGCCAGGGAGGGGAACAGGTGGGGGAGAATAGCCAATTGAGCCATCACACCAGGCCCTGAGGCCAGGTTTTTTGGGTGGTCTGTGGGGGACGAGGGGACTGCACTGTGATGCATTCATTGTCCCACCTCCATCTCAGGCCGTGTCTCCTGTGTGCCTGTGGGACGTGCCATGGCCTGTGTCTGTGGCAGGGAAGCAGGAGCCCACGCCCACACCAACGCCCGGGCTGCCTCTGCTGCCAAGCAGGGACCCCCGCAGCACATGCTCTGTGTAATTTACTGCCCTTGGAAATGACCTCATCTCGCGTTGCACATTTGATGAATGGTCCCCAGTGTTAGCGCAAGGAAAGAACATAACAGCAGGGGTTTCTGCTTTCCCCTTAGAGAGCAGGGAATGGATGTATAGAAGAACCCTGGAGGGCAGGCCTGCTGCTGGTCCCATGCCCCTCGCCGGAGCCCCTCCTGGAGGGGCTCGAACGAAAGGCAGGACTCTGGTCCAGAGAGGTTGAGGAACCTGTCCTAGGTCACACAGCAGAGAGTACCCCTCAATTGAAAACAAAAAAAAAACAGTGTTGTAGGGGCAACCATCAGGCACAGCAGTTAAATCGCTGAAGCCGAGACTGCTGGCTCGCCTCAGCTCCTTGTCACCAAGCGGGATGTAGCTCTTAGTCTGTATAAACACTTGCCCATTGGATAGTTTAAAGTACTGGATCCTTAGACTAATTGGCCTCCAAGAAATGTTACCAGGTCCATCAGAGAGCACATCAGATGTGGCTAGGTGAAGATTTAGACAGAGATACAGTGACATGGTTATAAATCTTATTGTTTCTCCTAATGGCGCCCTTCCCCTTTATCCTCAGATTAGCACTCTGCTATAAAGTTTCCCTGACAGCCCAGGCCAAAAACATGGGTCTTTTACAACCCCAGGGGGAGAAAGAGTGCTCTGCCTTGAGAAGACAAGAATCCCTGACAATTCCCCCTTGGTCACGTGGCACCTGTGCTCGCTCACTTGATTGGATGGTTTTTCATGCCAGTGTGAGTTTAAAAGCCCCTAACGGCGACCTGTCAGAGCTGCTCCCCTCTTCTTCTTGTGGTGGCACAAGACAGTCCGCCAGCAGGTGAACGAAGATTCCTGAGCTTCTAAGAGTCTGCCTCTGACTCATTTTTGGAATGAAACTGGGCAGCGCGCAGTATACCCTCTGCAGTTCAAATGAAATGAGAAGCAATGAATACAATGCAAATGAAGAATCAGCACAGAGCAGGTGTAAAGTGCATGCCAGGGGTTCCTGATGTGGCAGGTCCTGGCTTGCAGTTTTGGGGACTGAGGTTGCAAGGACCCCTGCTGTGTGGTACAGCTGCTGATCTCATTTTCGGGGGCCAGGAACGTAGCCGGCTTGCTGATCGACCGCATCAGAACCAGCTTGTTGGTTAACCACATTCAGGACCGGCTTATCCATCAACCACATTGGACCCAGCTAACTGGTCAACCACGTCATAACCAGCTTGCTGGCCAGTGTTCTGGACATGACTGGGGCTGGGGCCAGGGCAGGAGGTGTTTGTCCTCCTCCAATACCCTGTGGCCAATCTCTGGGGTGCAGTCATTCATTCATTCCTGCTGCAGGTTCTGAAAGTGAGGGGGTAGGATCCCTGGCAGCCAGGAGCACCTGACTCACCCCCCACACCCCCACCTCCATAGCTGTCTCTGGAGGTGTTGGAGAGCGGGCACCTCCTGCTCGTGCGCCTCCCTGAGCCCTCTCCCCTCCCCGCTCGTCGCAGTGCTCGGCGCTGTCCAAGCTGAACGCGGAGGTGGCGTGCGTGGCTGTGCATGACGAGAGCGCCTTCGTGGTGGGCACCGAGAAGGGCCGGCTGTTCCTCAGTGCGCGGAAGGAGCTGCAGGCCGACTTCCTCAGGTTCTGCCGTGAGTACCCCCGGGGCTCCCCTTGACAGGGGGCTCCCCCAAGCGTGACATCAAAGGGCAGTGGAAGCAGCCACAGCTGGGGATCCAATTCTGCACCAGCTCCCCACTGGCCACCTCCACCCTGGCCAGTATACACACGAGCCGACACCCTCCTCCCCCATCCCACCCCAAGCCTAGGGTAGAGCCAGCTCCTTCTGTGTACCCATTTACAGACAGGTACATTGAGACCTAGGCTTACTGTCTACCTTATCCTGTAGACTGGTGGCAGGTTCTCATAGACTGAGACCAAACACACCAGCCCGTTCAGCTGAGATTCCCTGGGTAGAGTGCCTGCTGCACACAGCACCATTCCAGGGTGAACTTGCTGGTGTCTTGGAGCTGCCCCTCCCAGAGGCTCTGGGAACAGAGTGACAGGCTCACATCCAAAGCCAAGTGCATTCAGGCAGAAGGGGCTAGGTGCTCACACCTGTGCTGGTGCTTGCTCATTTTCCCAGCAGCCTACTGGTTGATGGATAAGAAACTGAGTCCTGCCCCCAAGGCCATAGCCACGCCCACCCCAAGGCCATAGCCATGCCACACCCCACACACATGAGGCAGACGTGCAGGCTCTATGGGTCTCAAACCTGCTCTCTTTCTGCTGCCCCCTTCTTCCAGATCAGGAAGGTATGAGGGAGGCACCCCAGGGCTGGTGGTGGACCAGGGGTGGATCTGCAGCCCCCGGCCCCACCTCCACTATGTTTCCCCTGGCCTGCGTCTGCCCTGCCCACCTTGTCCCAGCTCCTCCTCTGGCAGGCAGGCCAGCCAGGGTTCCACCTGCCCTGTGGTACCCATCACCCATCTCGCCTGCCCTGAGGTTGCATCTCACGTCGTGTACCAGCGCCACCCTGTGGGAGATGAGCGTCACCTACATGTGAAGCTCCTGTGGTCTGGATTCTGGGGATGGGGACAGCAGGAAAGCTCACCCACAGCTTAGGGCTCTAAATCTGTAGGTTCGCCCGAGATCAGGAGAGACAGGGGGCTCTGTACCTGCCAGCGCTGCTGCCTGCCACAGGTGGAGCCACTCCCAGTTGCTCCCAAATCGAAAGCGTCTTGAGTACTGGAAGCATGCCCCAAAGTGGAGAGTTCCACACGTGAAACCTTGTTTGCTTAAAAATCAATGGGGCCAGATCTGGCACAATAGCCTAGTGGCGAAATCCTTGCCTTATGTGCACCCGGATCCCATATGGGGCCAGTTCTAATCCCGGCAGCCCCACTTCCCATCCAGCTCCCTGCTTGTGGCCTGGGAAAGCCGTCGAGGACGGCCCAAAGCCTTGGGACCCTACACTTGCACAGGAGACCCAGAAGAAGCTCCTGGCTCCTGGCTTTGGATCAGCGCACCTCCGGCCATCCGCTTGGGGAGTAAATCAACGGATGGATCTTCCTCTCTCTTTACTCCTCTCTGTACATCCAACTTTCCAATAAAAATAAATAAATCTTTTTTAAAAAATCTGATGATCTGACTTTCAAATTAAAAAAAAAAAAAAATCAGTGGGGCCAGGAGGTTAGCCCAGCGGTTATAACACCTGCATGCGTGGTAGCCTGTGGCTCAGGTAGCTGGGTCCCTGCCACCCACCTGGGAGACCTGGGGTGAGTTCCTGGCTCCTGGTGGCCTCAGTTCCAGTTGGGGCCATCGCTAGCATTTGGTGAATGAATGAGCAGATCGCAGTTCTGTGTGAGTCTGTGTGTGTGTTCTCTGTCTCTCAAATACACGTTTTAAAAGTAGTATATGGACTTATTTTCAGGCAGTGTGCATTCGCTTTTTACAAGATTTTATTTATTTGAAAGGTAATGTTAGAAAGAGAGATCATCCATCCACTGGACCACTCCCCAAATGCCCAGCCTGGGCCCAGCAGAAGCCAAGAGCCAAGAACTCCATCCTGGTCTCCCACATGGATGCAGGGGCCCCAGCGCTTGAACCATTCTCCAGTGTTTTCCCAGACACATTTAGGGGATTCTGGATTGGAATGGAACAGCCAGGAACCAGTGCCAAATATGGGTTGCTGGCATCACAGGCAGAGGCTTAACTTGCTGCCCCACCACACAGGCCACAAAACAAATGAATTTTGTTTTTTTCTGCGGGAGTTCTCATCCTGTATTTGCAAGTATTCTGAAATCTGAAAACTGCAAAATCTGAAAGCACTTATGGTCCCCAGTGTGCCAGGTCCATGTTACTGAGCCTGAACCCGGGAGGCTTGCACCTGCTCGTCTGTTGGAAGGAGAGAGCTGGGTTGTGCTGGAGGAGTAAATCGGCCTTGCATGGCGTGCACTTGGCACAGTGCCTGATGCCCAGTCCCACCCACTGGACACCAGTTGCTGTCACTATTACTAGTAAGAGTAGCTGCATTCCACCCCTGGGTCTGGTCTCAAGGGCCCACGGTTCAGGGCTGGGCATACCCCACACTCCCTGAAACTGGGCGTGCCATCGGTGGAGCACAGCTGTTTCCCCAGCCAGGCCCCATCCGGCTCAGCCTTCTGGAGCCTGAATCCCCTCCAGGGTCAGGGCCGGGGGCTGCATTGAGACAGGCTGAGTGTGGCAGGTTCTGGCTGCCAGTGAGCCAGGCTGTGGCCTGGGGCATGTGCACCTGGCTTTTTAGAGCCATCAAGAGCCGCTATTTATAGGGGCGGGGCTGGGTTATTTCAAGCTCTCCCAATTCTAGAATAAACAGAGTCCCATCCCAGGGTCCCTAGCGTGACCTAACCTGGTATAAGCCTCACTTTAGAGGCCCCGCAGCCACCTGGTTTAGGTCTCCATTATTGCTCCCCTTGGACAGAGCAGACACCTGGGGCCTGGGTGGATTGAGATGGCGAGGGTGAGTGTCAGGGCACAGAAGGAGACGGATGGGACATCTGGCCGCAGTTCTATGCAGGTCCTGCTGGTCTCCTGTGAACACTCCAGACCCGGGACCCAGGCAGTTAGAAAGGGGCTCGCCCAAAGTCACAGGACAAGGCAGAGGTGACCAGGGCGGAGCCCCAGGCCCTGGGTTAGGGCACCAGGACCTCCACAGCGCCAGCCCCAGCCCTCAGAGGGGCATCCAACCTCCTTGATGCTCCAATGTCATTCATTCAGTTCCTTGCCAGCTAAGTTGGCTTCCAGGCCTTGGAGGTGGGGTGGGGGGGGTCCCACACAGCAGTGAGGTGTGAAGCAGGTACTCACGTCCTCCCCTGCCTGCCCTGTTCCCCATAGGAGGACCCCCATGGAAGGATCTGGAGGTGGAGCACCCCAAGAAGGTGCAGCGGGGCGAGGGCGGTGGCCGGAGCATCCCGCGGTCCTCCCTGGAGCACGGCTCGGACGTGTACCTGCTGCGCAAGATGGTAGAGGAAGTCTTTGATGTTCTTTATAGTAAGACCCTTCCTGATTCCATTCGGGGCCCCCGGGGTGGGTGGGAGCCTCAGATCCCGCCTAGTGGAGGTGGCACCCCCCCCCCAACTTACACATGCCTTGGGGGTGCCACCAACCTGCCTGCTCATCCCTGCTGTCCCCTTGCCCTGACTCAGGTCACGGCCACCTCCACCTGAAGAAATGACCCCAAAGCACAAGTGTGACCTGCCATGCCCTACCCCTTCACCCCTGCCATGGGGTCACTACCTGGTCTCCACTGACCCTCATCCTCCTATGACCCGTTTTTGGGGGACTGCCTTTCTCTTCTGGCAGCTGTGCCAAGCTCTGAGATTCAGCTGCAGGAAGCCCCTTGCTCACCCCCACCGCGTTAGGGCCCCCTTGGCTGGCCCAGCCAGTCTGTGGTCCCAGCAGGTGCTCAAACCACTGTTGTTGACAACCCTTGTGGATGGCAGCCCTGGTCTGCCCTGGCAAGCATCAGGTAGTAGATAGTCACAGGCCTCTACCACCCCCAACCCCACGCTGCAGTGGCCTCTGCACTGCCCTGGTAACCTTGGACCAGGTTCCCCAGAGGGCCCCACCTTGTGTGTGTGACCTGCCCTGTGGCTCCTGCAGTGTTAGCCTATCTAGGCAGAAAGGCCCTCAGTATGCATGTCAGATGGAGCAGGTGGAGGAGGAGCAAGGGGCTGGGGATATTCCAGAGGCCCCCACTTGCTTGCCCTGCCCAGTGCTTCTTTGCTGCCTCGTAGGGGTCTGGTCATGACAGGGCCTCTTACTGATTCTTGGTGGGGGCCACAGCCAATGAGCCCCACACCCTCCCTCCACCACCCCTCCATCCTCACCCCCCCCGCCCCTTTTGTTTCTCTCCTCCTCCCTACTCCTGCCCCCCTCCCACCTCAGTCCCTCTTTCTCTCATTCATTTTTCGCTCTTCTGACTTTGACCCTGGCCATGCCCTGTGTCCACCTGCTGACTCATACAAGCCTCTGGCTTGACCTTGCACCCCCTTGTCCTCTTCACCTCCTGCCCCAGCCCGTACCTACCACCAGATGCTCCAGTGCATGGCGGGGAGGGTCCGCTGGGTAGACTAGCTGGGACCCCCACCTTCTCTCCTACCCTACTTCCCCAAATGGGGAAGCCCTAAGTCCTTGGATATAGACCAAGGGCTTCTCAGAAAGACCCTGGAATTGGGGAAAGAAGAGACCCAGCATTCAGGGGAGCCCCATTGTGGTGTGGTATACCTGCCCAGCACCTCCTACCCCCATCACCCCAGGCTGAGCTCTCACACTCAGCCCTCTCCCTTCCTGACCCACAGGTGAGGCCCTGGGCAGGGCCAGCGTGGTGCCGCTGCCCTACGAGAGGCTACTGAGGGAGCCAGGGCTCCTGGCCGTGCAGGGGCTGCCCGAGGGCCTGGCCTTCCGCAGGCCAGCCGAGTACGACCCCAAGGCCCTCATGGCTATCCTGGAACACAGTCACCGCATCCGCTTCAAGCTCAAGAGGTAAGGCCGTGCCAGCCTGCCACAGCACCTGCCGCATGGACCTGGGCTGAGGAGAGATCCCAGTTCGATGGTGGAGGTGCAGCCCCCTCCCCAAGTGGGGGCCTCTGATTGCACAGTGACTGCAAGACGCGTGGCTTAGGATGCACTGGGATCCTGGTGATCAGAGTGCCTGGTGCCACAGCAAGGCACGTGGTACGAGTAAAGAGGGGCTGATGGGAGATGCGGTGGCTGAGGCTGGTCCTGGCAGGTGCCACCGTCTCAGGCCCCTCTCTTCTGCCGAGCTGGTGCACAGGTCAAGGCTGCTTGTCCCGGGGCAGGTCACATTCACCCTTTGGGCCTGTACTCCCTTCTACCCTGCCCTGCCCTGCTCACGAGTCCGGGGATGGTGCAACAGGTGCAGCAGGGGTCCGAAGCTGCCCGTGTCTCCTCTTCCTGACCCAGGACACCAGAAGACGCTGGGCGCGACTCAAAGACACTGGTGGAACTGAATGGCATCTGCTTGCCCTCCAAGGGCTCCCGGGACTGCAGCCTGCATGGTCAGACCCCCAAGGGGACCACGCAGGACCTTACCCCCACCGCCACCACCTCTTCCTCCTCCTCGTCTTCCTCCTCATCCATGGCCGGCTTCCTGTACAGCACAGCGCTCCCCAGCCACACTGTCCGCGAGCTTAAGCAGGAAGCACCCGCCTGCCCGCTTGTCACCAGCGATCTGGGCTTCAGCCGGCCTGGGCCGGCGGAGCTCACGGCCTCCAGCACCCAGGACTTTTCCGATTGCTGTGGTAAGGCTGTTTTGCCAACTGGGCAGGGCAGGGTGGGTGGGTACATGTGGCCCTCGCCAGTCACCGCACAATGTGGCACCAAGCGGGGCCTCTAAATGGGACCCTGAGCATTGAGTAGACACCGACTGTGTATGCGCTGAGCATAAGCGAGAAGATCTGGGGTCTAGTCCTCGCTCCTCTACTTTGCATTGTGGGGCCCACGGCACCCATAAAAACGGGGATGTTGGTAAAAGTCTCCTCTGTCCCCGGGAACTGATGTGGAGTGACAACAAGGCGTGGTACATTTCTCCCTCTCGACCCTGACACAAGGAGGGAAAACAGAAATACTTATCTCCCACCCCACCTTGACCTTGTCCATCCTAATCAGAGGCTCACATGGCTCTGTCACCCCCTCACCTTTATAACACATATTGAAATCAAACTGTGAAAGTTTAGAAAGAGAGACACGCAGGTTTCCAGGTACCTGCAGGCCCATAAGGCAAACTTTGTGGGAAGCTGACAGCCAGGTGAGAGGCATCTGCCAGCTGGCCACACGTACGCAAGTTTAAGAACGACGGAACCCATGAGTCCAGTGCTTGGACCAAGTTCACTGCAAAGTGGAGGATTAGGCATGGGCAGGACCTGGGGACCCCTGGGGGACCCGCCTTGAACCTGTCCCTCTTGTCTCCCTTGTCCAGGACAGAAGCTCCCGGGGCCTGGTGGGCCACTCATCCAGAATGTGCACGCCTCCAAGCGCATCCTCTTCTCCATCGTCCATGACAAGTCGGGTAGGACAGCGCCTGCGGTGGGGAGGCACCCCTGAACCCTGGGGTGGAGAGCGGTACCTGCAGCAAAACGGGAGAGAAAGGAGGGGACCAGTGTGCCGCCCAAGGGGCTTGCTCTGTCATCAGGTGGAGCAGGTGTCTGACTGAGGGACAGAAAGAACTGTGTAGCTGTGGGCAAGAACTTTCCTATGGTCAGGAATTCACGGTGGGGCTGCAGGCTCGGGTCCTGTGTAAGTTGCAGTGGGGTCAGCATATGAGCTCAGGGCCAGGGCTGGCGGCAGGAGACCTGAGCAGCCACCACGTGGCATGTGTGTCCTCCCAGTGTGGTCCCCGGCTTCCTCCCGCTATGTGGCATCCACTCCGTGCAGTAGCAAGCCAGAGGACTCAGTGTCCCCTCCTGGAGGCAGGCTTATCCAACACACATGAGTGGGCTTAATAGGGGCAGCTCAGAACTGGGTCATTTAGACTTTAGGCATCCCTGCAAGAATTCTTTACATATTTGATTTTTAAAAACATTTATTTATTTGAAAGGGATCATGACAGAGAAAAAGATCTTCCATCTGCTGGTTCACTCCCCAAATGGCTACAATAGCCCAAGTGGACCAGACCAAAGCCAGGAGCCCAGAGCTCCATCCGTGTCTCCCATGTGGGTGGCCGGGGCCATCATCCACTGAACTCAAGCCAGCACTCCTGTGGGAAGCAGGTAGCCGCGTGGGCCAGGAGCAGGAGCAGGCTGTTACTGGGTTGTGTCAGGTGAAAGAGCAGTTTCTCTGAGTTGCAGTTATCCTTCTCTGCAAAATGGGGGTGTCCGTGATTCAGTATCACCACAAGGGACTGAAGACATTCCCCTCAGAGCTGCAACCGGGTCGCTCTAGTTAGGGCTGTTCAATCCAGGCAGAGACTTTGGTCAGCCAGGGTGGGGAGGGCAGGTGCTTGGGGGAGAGATGGCAGGTGTGCGAGGTTTTCAAGGTCAGGGGAGGTCAAAGCCTGCCCCTCCCATGTGTCCACTGGTACCTGGACTGAGGTGTCCGGGGGTTGTGACCGAGGTGCCTGGGCTCGGTGGTGGTCGGAGGTAGGATGGATGGTGGGCGCTCAGAGCATCCCGCGGGGCCTCACTGGCGCCCCCTTGCTGTGATAGAGAAGTGGGACGCCTTCATCAAGGAGACAGAAGACATCAACACGCTGCGGGAGTGTGTGCAGATCTTGTTCAACAGCAGATACGGTGAGTGGCGAGCGGGTCTGGCCTCCCCCTCGCATGTGCCTGGTGCCAGACACCCTGATACGGTGTCTGCCCGCTTCCTTGCTGGGTGGGGGGGTGGGGTGTCAATTTCTTCCCTCCAGTTCTTTGCGTGGGGGGGAGGGTAGAGCTAGTTGGACGATGATCCCCCTACCCAGGGACCACCCATGTTGACCTCCTGTGCGGGATCCCACACCACTGCACCCTTCCCTGGCATCTCATCTGCTCGAGTGCCCTCTGTCCAGCTTGTCTGGGGCACCTTGTTTGGATATGTTGTGGAGCAAGCACATTTTTTTAGATGCAGCCTGGCGGCGGCGGGGGGTCTCTTCCTCCAGGAAGCCGTCAAGGTGACCCCTGACCCTGACGCTTCCTTGTCCACCATCTACTGCACACTTGAACCTGACTTGCACAGCCGCCTACCCTGCCCTCCATGTGCACCTCCCTCTGCTCCCTCTCTCATCACCTTGATCTTCCACTTAATCCCACCTTCCTGTGATCTTCTCATAGCTCATTGGCCTAGTCAGCTGTCAGTCATGCATTATGAGCCCCTGCCTTGTGTCCTATAAGAGGGCTGACTGAGGCCAAGGAAGTCTGATCCCAAGGGTCTTCAGTAAGTAGGTGTTGGAAGCTGTGTCTAGGGCAGTATGCAGTGGGCTACACCGTGGACACTTCTCTGCGACAGAGTAACAGTTAGGAGGAAGGACATCTTAGAGGACAAGGAATCAGGGACAGCTTCTTGGAGGAGGCCCCCACTTTGATCTGGCTGCCACTGGGCAGGCTGAGCCTTCCAGGTTAATACAGGCTAGAGCGAGGCTCCCAGGTCTTGGTAAGGTATCTGAGCAACTTGGGAACCTTTGGGGCAACTTTCTGTCCCTGAGTCCATCCGACCTTAGACAGGTGGAATCCTGGTGGGCTGTGGGAAGACAGGAAAAGGGAAGAAGTGGAGGAAGGGGAGGCTGGGAAGCTGGCTCTGTCTGTGAGTGGAGGACTGAGCCCAGCCAGGCAGGTCCGGTGGCAGGGGCGGTCAGGCATGGGCAACTGTGTGCCTGCACGTCTATAGTGGGACCTGCATGTGCCCTGTCTGCACTTGGTGCTTTGGGCCACGGCCGGGGCTGGGCTGGTCTGGGCTGGACATGCCAGAGCCCTGGCCAGGGCCACCTCTGATCAGACTGAACAGAAAGAAACTCCCCGCAGGCAGGGGGATCCTGAAGTGGAGGTGGGAATTGCAGGCCTAGATGGAGCAGCCAACAGTGGACTGGGTGAAGAAGGAGGGAAAAAAAAAAAAAGCAGAAAAAAAAGACAGACAGGGGAGGCCCTAAGGCCATGGTCATCCCAGCTGGTGATTGAGTTCCAGGTCCACCTGCAGACAACTCCCCGCCAATCAGTGAGCAGCAGCTGAAGGCCTAGGCCCCAGTGAATAGAGGACCCACATGGGGAACATGACGTGGCAATGGCATCAACCGTCTAAAGCTGCTGCCGTGGAGGCAAACTTGGGCCACAGCAACAAAAAAACAAATGTCAGTGGCACCCGAGGGAGGCCCAGTGGCTCTGCCCAGCTCCTGGAGGGCCTGGCCGGAAGCAGCTGTCCCTGAATGAGCTCTTGTGGGAACGCGGGGGCAGAGGTGCCGGGATATGGTGGGCCCAAGGAGCGGAGCAGGGAGTGGACAAGGGCCCGTGACGATGCCAGCTCACTCCAAACACAGAGCAGGTGCTTACGGAGTGTTGGGTGAAAGAATACAGGAAGATGTGGCCATTGGGGTGAGAGATGAGCTGGGACAGTGTGAGTCCAGGCCCAGCCTGGGCTGGAAGACCCAGGCAAGGAGCTAGTCCCTGAACTTAGAACCTTCTGTGGCAGAACTGGGGCTCCTGTGTCCCCTGTGTGACCCAAGTCTCCCACCAGGGGCAGCCCCAAGCCTGGAAGCTTCCTACAATCACTCATTCATAATATTTATTTATTATTTATTTAAAAGGCAGGAAGGAAAGAGTCACGCAGACGTCTTTTATCCGCTGGTTCACTCCTCAGATGACCACAATGTGTGGAACTGGGCCGGCAGAAGCCAGGAGCTTCTTCCAGGTCTCCTACGTGGATGCAGGGGCCCAAAGACTTGAGCCATTTCCCAAGGTGCATTAGCAGGGAGCTGGATGGGAAGTAGAGCAACCAGGACTCAAACCGGCACCCATATAGGATGCTGGAGTTGCAGGTGGCGGCTTTGCCGGCTGTGCCACAGCACCAGCCCCACATTCGTTCATTCATTCATGATGAAGCAGGATTCCACAGCCAGAGCAGAGGACACACGCCCCCCGTTCCCCTGTGGAGCTGGTATTCCAGCTGTGGGTAGGCACAGAGCTGGATCTGGACAGCATGTCCCATGGTGATAGACGAGTGACAGATGGGACAGGGAGGCACGTTGGGAGCCGTTTGGGCCTAGTCTTGGAGCACGTGCTTACATTAGGGGGGTGTGCCTCTGTGGGAAGCTGTCGGCACAGAGTTAAGTGCAAGGGGTCTAGGAAGAGGGAAACAGCCAAGGTCAAGGTGGAGTGAGCAAACAGGTGAGCATGCCCAGGTGGGGTCTGAGGTGCTGGGGTCATGTGGCTAGCACTCGGGGCCATCCACAAGAGAGCCGGGAGCCTGTGGTGTCCCAGCGTGGTGAGGGGAGGCAAGGCAGGAGGCGGCCAAGGCCTCGGCCGATGCCCGTGCCCTTTCTCCCCCAACCCCACATCTCAGTACATCCTGCTGCCCGTCTCCTGCTCAGCCTTGCCGTTGCCCTTCCAGCGGAAGCCCTGGGCCTGGACCACATGGTCCCCGTCCCCTACAGGAAGATCGCCTGTGACCCGGAGGCAGTGGAGATTGTGGGCATCCCAGACAAGATCCCCTTCAAGCGCCCCTGCACATACGGGGTCCCCAAGCTCAAGCGGATCCTAGAGGAGCGACACAGCATCCACTTCATCATTAAGAGGTGATGGGGCGCTGGGGCATCTAGGCAAGGCAGGGTCTGGGGGAAGCAGCCGGGGATGGGGCAGAGGTTCTCCAACTTTAAGCAGAGAGTCAGGTACACCTGGGCAGAAAATTCCAGCTCCTTCACTTAGCACCATGGCCACCATCTCTGGGGCCTCCTCCGAGGGTCACATGGAAAACGGGAGGGACAGAGCCTGGCCAGGCCAGCCGTATAAGTGAGTTTACTTTGGGAACACTTCTCATGCCCTGGTCCACTTGTCAAACGCCCACAGTTGTCAGCACAAGATGGCACACCTGGGCTCAGGCCAGGGCGGGACCAGCCTCTGCCTCCTGTACCCTCCCCTTCCCCAGCTGCTGGCTTGCTCTGGGACAGCGGTGGGTGGGTGGAAGAAGATGCAAAACCTCTGGGAGTCCCAGTGCACCTGCTCCTCAGCGCTGCCTTCCAACTCCAGAGGCACAGGCTCCACGCGGTGCCTGAGTTGCCTCCTCAGTGGCCAGAGCTGGAGCCACGTGGTCTGGGCCTCGGTCTCTGGGCCTTGGTACAGGTGGATGCCAGCTGCAAGTTGTCACCCACATCTCTGCTTGCTGGTTTGTCACTGTGGAGCTCTAGGCAGGGATCAAGGACAGGGATTGTCATTTTGTTCACGCCTTGAACATCCCCAGGAGGTGGTCGAAGCTTGTCATATATTCAGGGAATCCATGAGGGAGTGAATGAATGAACAAATGCTTTTCCAGATGTGGACTCATGCTTTTTAAAGAGCTTTTTTCTTTTTTACAATTTTGTATTTGAGAACCTGACGTGACTGACATGATGGCTCAATGGTGAAACTTCCATCTTGCAAGTGCCAGAGTCCTATATAGGCACCAGTTTGTGTCCTGGCTGCTCCATTTCCCATCCAGCTTCCTACTTGTAGCCTGAGAGAACAGCATAGGATGACCCAAGTTGTGAGTCCTGGGGAATAAATTGATCAAAAAGAGATTGGGGGACAGTGCTCTCACGGGCTACTGACAAAAGTTTGTTTCCAGGGTTCCAGTTTATATACATTCAGCAAAGCCAGAAACTCCATCCAGGTCTCCCGTGTGGACGGTTGGGAGCCTGAGCATTTGGGCTGTCACTCGCTGCCTTCCCACGTGCAGCAACACGGAGCTGCGTGGAAAACAGAGCAGCTGGGGCTCGAACATACACTCCCGTGGAGTGCTGGCACCCCTGTGTTCAGTGGTCGTGCCCGACTGCAGGCTGGTGTTCTGGGCACTGAGTCAGCGATGTGGGAAGTGCCTTGGGGTGTGTGGTCTTGTGACAGGTGCAGTGGGGCATCACCCCGCTGTCTCAGCTGAGGCGCGCAGGTGTATTCACTCGGACGAGCTCAGTGGCAGGTGCGCCCCCAAAGGATTCCCAGAGCCAAGGAGAGGCGTGGCTCCAAGATCCAAGCCAGAAAGCCGACCCGGGGAACCTCCCCTCGCCCCGGGAGAGGACAGGTGCTCTGAGAGTTCCTGCTTACCCTGGAGGCCAGAGAGGTCCCGTTAGACTCCGTCTCCAGCTCCACCCCAGAACAGCATGCTCAGTCTCCCCACCCTGGCTGGCACACTGCCCTGAACTTGAGCCATTTCACCTGCCTCCTCACCCACCTCGCCTTTCAAACCCGCTATTCTCATCCAGCAGCGGTTGACTGCTCCCACCCCCATCCCCAAGGACCATCCTGGCTGGCTCTGTCACCGTGGGACCACATCTGGGCCCCAGATTAAGTTTTTTTTTGGGGGGGGTTGTTTGTTTGTTTAAAATTTATTTATTTATTTTGGAAGGGCAGGTTTACAGAGAGAAGGAGAGACAGACAGAAACATCTTCCATCCGCTGATTCACTCCCCTAGTAAATGCAACAGCCAGAACTAAGCCAATCTGAAGCCAAGAGCCTCTTCCAGGTCTCTCACATGGGCACAGGCTCCCAAGGCCTGGGGCCATCCTCTGCTGCTTTCCAAGCCACAAGCAGGGAGCTAGATGGGAAGTGGAGCAGCCAGAACACAAACCAAAGCCCACATGGGATCCTGGATGTACAAGGCAAGGACTTAACCACTTGGTTAAGGCACTGGGCCCACATTTTTGTTTTTTGTTTTAAGAAGACAAAACAATTTTTTATTTATTTGAAAGAGTTACAGAGGGTTCAACACGTAGGCTCAATGGCAAAATTTTACCTTGTAAGTGCTAGGATCCCACAGGGACTCTAGTTCCAGTCCCAGCTGCTCAACTTCCCTTCGAGCTCCATGCTTGTGACCTGGGGGAGCAGTTGAGGATGGCCCAAAGCCTTGGGACCCTGCATCTGCATGGGAGACCAAGAAGCTCCTGGCTCCTGGCTTGGGATCGTCTCAGCCCCTGCAGTTGCAACCACTTGGGGAATGAACCAGCTGATGGAAGATCTTTCTCTCTGTATCTCCTTCTCTGTAAATCTGATCTATCTTTCCAATTTTAAAAAAAAGCAATAAAATCTTTAAAAAAAAGAAAAGAGATGAGGAGAAACAGAAAATCTTCCTTCCACCGGCTCACTCCCCACATGGCCACAATAACCAGGGCCTGAGCCAGGCCGAAGCCAGGAACTTTTTACTGGTCTCCCACGTGGGTGCAGAAATCCAAGATCTTGCTCCATCTTCCACTGCTTTCCCAAGGTGCATTAGCAGGGAGCTGGATGGGAAGTGGAGCAGCCGGGACTCAAACTGGTACCCATGTGGATGCCAGCATTGTAGGCAGGACTTAGCCTACTGTAGCCTGCTGAGTCACTTCTCATACCCTCACAGCAGCCACTCCTGGGCCCTCCTTGTTAAGCACTGCTGGAAGAGAATAGAAATCCATCATGCATCCATCAGATGGTGCTTACTTGTGTCTAGCTTAAGTCTCTCTTGCTGCTGCCTAATCTCTGTTCCCTCCAGTGACTCCTAGTGAAAGGCATATAGCCCGCTGTTTAGGCCCTGAATTGCTGATTGGCCCTCCCCATCCTACTCTGCAACTCACGTCTTTGTCCCCCAGTGTTGGCCAAGCCCCTCTCACAGCTTCTGTCCTTCCCTGGGCTCTGCCAATTGGACACTGTCCACACCTCCCACCTCCAGGTGTCACCACCACCTGTCACATGGGGGCTCCACGGGAGGCACAGAGGACACATCTAAGCACTGCATTCCCCCTGAGTGGCAGGTGCTTGCAGCAAGCCTGTGAGGCCTCCTGGAGGAGGTGGCTTTGGCTTCAGGCAGGCTGGGTCACCTATAGTGTGTATGAAGATGGACCAGCCCCACTGTTCCCAGGAATTTTGGTTTGCAATTGAGAACCAGCCCTCATCACGGTTCTGACAGCAGGGGTAGGGGGACTCCATCCTCCGAGTCCTGCATGCATCAGACACTGGTGTTAGCTGGTCCCCGCTGTGTGGCCTTGGGCTGGTTACCTAACTGCTCTGGGCCACACTGGACCTCATCTCTAAGAGCCTAGGAGTCTGAGTGATCTTATCTGGGCTGGGTCCTGCTCCATGTGTATTTCCCCCATCCTGTCCTGACAGACAAGGATGGCTTCGGGGCAGCCAGGGGGTGGCATCTTAGCATGCTTAGCCAACTCAAAGTCAGGCTCAGCCCTCAGACCCACCTCCTTGCCCAGGCCTTAGCTGGATGCCCAACTGAGGCAGCCAGCTGCTTCTGCAGAGCACAGGGAGCGAGGGAGAAAATTCTAGAACTGGGCAAGTGCTGGCACTCGAGCCACTCGAGCTCAGGAGGGATTCTGAACATATCCCTGTCAATGTTCCCTGCCCATGGGTCTGCTTTGCAAAAAAAAAAAAAAAACCAAAAAGTTTATTTTTATTAAAAGAGCAGACCTGCAGGGCAAAGGAGATACATGGTTCATTTACTCCCCAGATGGCCACAGTAACCAGAGAGAGCTAAGCTATTTAGGCCAGAAACTTCTTCCGGGTCTCCCACAATGGTGCAGACTCCCAAGGCTTTGGGCCGTCCTCTGCTGCTTTCTCAGGCCATAAACATGGAGCTGGATGGAAAGCGGAGCAGCCGGGACTTGAACTGGTACCCATATGGGGTGTCCAGTGCTTGCAAGCTGATGGTTAGCCTGTTGAAGCATTGTGCCAGCCCCACTGGTCTCCTTTGTAAACTTGCACCTGCCATCGAGTAACATGTGCCATGTCGGGGGTGTGAGCCATGTGTGGCTGGGAGCAGCCCCTCCACGGCCATCCAGGGCTTCTGCAGCCACTATGACTATCTCAGAGGTAGACTGGGGGCTCCCCTTCCAAGTTCTGGGCAGTGTTCTTAATGCCTCTCTCTCTCTTCTGCTTTCCCGTAACTCCCAGGATGTTTGATGAGCGAATTTTCACAGGTAAGTAGGGACTGCCTGCCTGCTCTGAAATGGATGACTTTGAGCCCTTGCCCTTGGGGATGGGAGGAGGGAGAGGGATACGATGGCTCCCAGGTGACCCCTCACAGCCTGGGAACAGTGGAGCCATGTCTGCTAGGAGGAGGAAGGGCCTGGTTCTGTCTCCCAACCCCAGTGTCACCCACGAGCTTTACAGCAAAGGCTGGCAGACCTCAGTTTGCACAGCTGCGAAATGGGTGTGAAATGCGTCCTCCTCGGGGCTGCTGGCCTTATGGCAGGAGGCCCAGTCCTGTGCTGCAGCCTGGGCTGGCCCTGGTCCCCCTTCCCTCAGACACATGCTGCTGGGAACCTCCAGCCCTGCCCTGCCCCTCACCCTCCCAAGACCCTCGGCTCCTGCAGCTCCAGGGCTGCTCTTCTGGTTTGTAGGGCAGATCTCTCTCTCTCTCTCTCTCTCTCTCTCTCTCTCTCTCTCACTGTGCCTGCTGAGACACCTGTCCCAAGGAGGACACCGGGCATCCTCCCTCCTGTCTCCCTTCTAACTTCTCCCTGCACCTCCCACCCACCCAGGGAACAAGTTTACCAAAGATGCCACTAAGCTGGAACCAGCCAGCCCACCGGAGGACACCACCCCCGAAGGCTCCCGGACCGCCCTCCTCGACCTAGCTGGCCCTGCTCGGTGAGCCCCCTCTCCTGCTCCCACCCACAGGGAAGACCTGGATGAAGCTCCGGGCTCCGGGCTCTGGGCTCCTGGCTAAGCCCTCTTAGCTGCAGCGCCCTGGGAGAGAGAAAACAGACAAGCAAGGGAATGAACCAAATCCTCCCAGGGACCCTGCCCAGCCCCCTCCCTTCCAGGGCCCGGGATCCCTCTCTCTCCATCCTTGCAGCAGACGCACAGCCCCCACTGTGCTGAGCTGGGGAGCCCCCCACTGGCCAGCCCTGGGCGCTGACCTCAGGAGCCCCCAGTTGGTGGAGAGCTGGAAGGTCCACCCCAGGGTAGCAAGCAGGAGTCCCAGAACACAGGGCGCTGGGGGGTCTCGGTGACCAAGCCTGGAGAGCACCCTGGGGTGGTGTGGTCACTGTGTACAGTAGGGATGGTGACACTGCAGAAGGACCCCTGGTCACTGCCCACTCTTTTGCAGGCCGGACAAGGGCAGCATCTCAGAAGACTGTGGGCCAGGTGAGGTGCTGCAGGGGTGGGCCTGTGTCTCAGGGCGGGCCTGGCATTAGCCTTGTACATGCACACCCTGAGCGGGGAGCAGGGAGGATGACCCTGCCCATCTAGCCCCATCCCCAGAGAGCCAGGGCATGCTGGGCACTCCGTGTCTGGGGGAATGAAGGGCCCTACACACACCCCCAATGATCAGTGACTCCCCCCATTTCTCCTCTGGGGGCCCCAGTCATAAGGTCAGTGAGTTGGAGTCCCCAGGCTTTGGTTTGACCCCTCTCTATGGTCCTGGCAGAAGCCAGGAGGCTCATGAACAAGTCACAGACTCAAGAATATTCTAGAATGACTTACCCTGACCGGGTTCCTCCTTGCTTCCTCTTTTCAGGAACATCCATGGAGGTGGGTGCGCTGAGGCCGATCAAAATTGAGCCGGAAGATCTAGATATTATCCAGGTCACTGTCCCAGGTGAGACGGGGGCCCTCCCTAGAGCAGGATGCCCCCAACCCCGGCCAGCGCACCTGCCCCCCCGCACGCGTGTCCTCAGCACTCATCAGCCCTGTCTCTACCCTGGGATTTTTTTTTTGGAAAAAGGCATGGCAGTAGAAAGACTTGGACCCACCCCTACCCCGTGTCCCCCGAGCTTACCTGCCACAAGGAGGGCATATACTTGACCCCAGAGGCTAGCTTTGGGGTGACCTCTTCTGGCCAGCCCTTGGCACAGCCAGGCACCCCGCCTGCCCCTTCTGAGTCTGTGGGTGTTCAAGAACTTGGGGTGTGTTGGGAGCGGGGAGGGTCCAGCAGGGAAGGTGATTGTGGGACAGGTGGTGGTAGATGGCCCTTGTCATTCGGAGCTCTGTTTCCAGATCCTTCTTCTCCAACCTCAGAGGAAATGGCGGATTCTATGCCTGGACACCTTCCCCCGGAAGATTCTGGTTACGGGGTGGAGATGCTGGCGGGTGAGAAATTGGGATAGGGGAGGGGTGGAGGGAGGGCCGGGTCCCCTGAGGTGCTGCTATCAGAGGAACTGGCTGTTGGGTGGACGGCTAGGGAGTCTGGAGCTGTTCAAGTCCTTTGCAGACTTCCTCAAATCTAAAATTCTGCAGGCAGCTAACGTGCAGCCTTTGGGGCTAGAACCCAAGTTGCGACATTAAAAGCATCTGTTTCATGTGTTCAGTGAGTCTGCGTGAAGCATGGTTTTCCACTTGGGGACGCTGCGTGCAACCTTGGAGCTTCTGAGATGCCTCGCTGGTGGGGGGTGGGGCTGGGGTGAGGAGCAGCTCCCCTTGGGTGACCCCTGGCTGCTGCAGGGGACCCTCAGGGCCAGGCAGGCTCTGACCACAGGCTTTGTTGTACTGCGCACTGGCCAGCCTGGCTTCCTTTCAGGGAGCTTGAAGTGAGCTGGTGTTTCCCAGCAAGTTGCTGAAGAATTGGTTGCTTTAACAGCTGTGTGTCAGGCAAGGTGCAGGAAAATGGGGCATTCCCGAAGGAAGTCCGGGCCAGTGTCAGGAGGGAGCTTAGCGGGGCAGGCACAGGGGGCGGGATCGGGGTCAGTGGGGACAGCAGGGACAGAGGGTCGGAGCTGGCTGAAGAGAGGGAAGAGGTACCCAAAGACCAGGAGGAGCGGGCTCAACTCAGGAGCCAGGGAGCCGCTGGGGCCAGACGCGCTGTCTTCCTTAGGGCATGTGGACAAAGAAGCAACCTCTCTGGGGACTAGCACCACAGCATAGTAAGCTAATCCTCCACCTCGGACACTAGCATCCCCTTCTGGGTGCTGGTTCGAGTCCCAGCGACTGCACTTCCCTTCCAGCTCCCTGCTTGTGGCCCGGAAAAGCAGTAGAGGATGACCCAAAGCTTTGGGATCCTGCGCCCACGTGGGAGACCTGGAAGAAGCTCCTGGCTCTTGGCTTCTAATCACTTCAGCTCTGGCCATTGCAGCCTCTTGGGGAGTGAACCAGTGGATGGAAGATCTTTCTCTCTGTCTCTGCTTCTCTCTGTAAAATCTGCCTTTCCAATAAAAGTAAGATAAATCTTTTTTTTAAAAAAAAAAAAAGGAGCAGACTCCTGGGGCAACCCAGGCAAGAGAAGTGAGTGGTGCAGCGAACTTGCAAAGACTTTATTTGTTTAAAATTTATGTATTTGAAAGGCAGAGTGACAGAAATGCGGAGAGAGAGAGATTTCATCTGCTTGTTCACACTCTACATGGCCAAAGCCGAGAAACCGGGAACTCCATCCGGGTCTCCTGTGTGGGTACAGGGGCCAAGCCCTCGGGCCAACCCCTGCTGCCTTTGCAGAAGCATTAGCAGAGAGCTTTGGACCGGAAGTGGAGCAGCCAGGATCCCAACTGGTGGTTGTTGCTATGGGATTCTGGTGTTGCAGGTGTGGCTTAGTGTGTTGTACCATGATGCCAGCCTCCCTGTGTTTTGGTTTTAGTAAGCTTTAGCATGGATGTGTTCAAATACCTGACCAAGTTTAATGAGCGTCCACCAGCCAGCCCCTCCCTGCTCTAACCTGCTTGACCCTGGCTACCTGGGGAGGTGGGAAGAAGCAGGTGATGACAATGGTCTCCTCCGTCCTCTTGCAGAGAAAGGCCCCAGTGAGGACCCGCGGCCGGAGGAGCGGCCCCTGGAGGGTGAGGATATGCCCATTTCACACCATCCCTTCCCTCCACCCCATCACTCATCTCCTACCCCTCCCTAGCCTTCTCTGTATCTGTCTCTCCCTTGTTTCTTCCCTCCCAGCTTGGAGAAGGGGAACCCCTAGGGACTACAGGAGGTGGGAGTAAAGTTTGCGCACCTGTACCTAATCACAGGTACTGCAGCCCCATGGGCAAGAGAAGGTCACAGGATTTTAATACACATCCTAAAGCCTGCTAATACTTCCACCTGGTGGCAGCCTGCGTGAATTGCAGGCTTAGCAAGCACCTTGCAATTAGCATCCCTCATTGAAAGGCTCATGCTCATTCCCAGACTGCCAGAACCTTCCACTTGGCCATGGTTTCACACGCAGCTGTGTGAGCCCAGAGAACGTGAGCCTGTCTGCAGCAGTCCACCTGCCTCCCAGAGGGGCTGGGAGCAGCAGGAGCAGCTGCCTTCCCTGGGGGGGACGGGGCAGGCCTACCTGATGGCGCTTTACCTTGCAGACAGGCACGGGGACATCATCCGGCCCCTGCGGAAGCAGGTGGAGCTGCTCTTCAACACACGATACGGTGAGCATGTGAACATGGCGCAGACAGACTGGCCGCCTTCTCCCTCCCTCCCTCCGCACCCCGGGGACCAGGAGAGGGTGGGGCCCATGCACCATTAGGAACCCCTAGCCCCAGGAGTCATCTATGGAGATGCAAGCACCACTGCAGGATGCCTGCACACACTGAGATGCTGACTGCTGCCGCTCCTCCCAACTCTCGCATCCCCATTTACCCCACCCAGTGACTTGCTCTCTATCAGGAGTCTTCCAGAAACTTGACACAGGAAATTGCTATCCGTAGGTGGTTTGGGGTTATCTGTAAAGACAAGGGTCAGAGGTCACATCTTGGCAAGCCCTTAAGGGGCTTCTGCACTGGCCATGGGCACAGAGACCTGGTCCCTATATGAGATTGGGGGGTGGGTGTCGCCCCCAGTACAGGTGCCTGCTGGGGGTCCTGTGGTGGGCAGGCAGACCCACAGGCCTACAGTAGCTCTTGTGTCCACAGCCAAGGCCATCGGCACATCGGAGCCCGTGAAGGTGCCCTACTCCAAGTTCCTGATGCACCCCGAGGAGCTGTTCGTCGTGGGGTTGCCCGAGGGCATCTCCCTGCGTAGGCCCAACTGCTTTGGCATCGCCAAGCTCCGCAAGATCCTGGAAGCCAGCAACAGCATCCAGTTTGTCATCAAGAGGTGAGGCCTGCCAGGTGCACGGCGAGCAGAGGGCGGGAACATTGCTGGGCTGCTCCTTTGTCCCTTCGGGCATCTCCCGCTGGACCAGGTGGTGACAGTTACTGAGGATACAGGAAAGGCAGGTGGGCCACGTGACTTCACACCATGTCTGCTGCGGCTTCCTGAGTGTTGCTGGCTCGACCTAGAACTGGAGGCTTGGTTTGCTTGCAAGTGACGAGGAAGCGGGCGCTGGTCACTTGCAAGTGAAATGGGTGGCCACCACCCCTCCACCCAAGCTGGGACCCTCACCTTTCTGGGTATGCCTAGAGCTGCAGGCTGGTACTGAGGCCTGTGGAGGCTGGGAGGCAGTGGCTTAGCACATGTGGTGAGCAGGTGCCAGGTGGGGCTTCGTTTCTGCCGGCCCATCCACTCCATTGTGCCCATCTGCAAAGCAGCGATCAGGTCAGGTTAGGTTGAGATAAAAGAACTGTCCCTCAGGGCAAGGGGGCGGGAAGGGAGGAGCCAGACTCTCCAGGCTCCTCCTACTTTAACCCCATGACCTTGGCAGCAGGTGGCCCTTGTGTTGGAGGGGGATGGCAGTGCCATAAACCCAGTGCTCAGCTTCTGGCTCTCCAAGGTGCTTGGGGAGACGTCACTTCCGTTATGGGGGACTCAGTTTCCCCCTAGCGAGAGGGGAACCAGATGCCAGCCCGGGGGGGGCAGAGCAGTGCTGAGCTGCGTTCTTCCCAACCCTGACTCAGCGTGCCCAGCTCTGTGCCAGGTGCTAGAGCAAAGGCACAGACTGATGCCCGTTGCATGAATGGGCATGCGCCACCACAGGCTCTGGCCTTGGCCTCAACCCCCGAACAGGGTCTCCCCCGTTGGCAAGCTAAGCTGCCACTGGGACCGCCCACTTCACACATTAGAGTGCCAGGTTGAGCCCCCCACTCATCCGCTGCTGATCCAAGCTCCCTGCTCAGGTGACTGGGAGAGTTACTGGGTGATGGCTCCAGCACTGCACGCGGAGACCCTGATGGAGCTCCTGGCCTCCGCTTGGCCCGACTCCAGCTGTCGCTACCATCTAGGGAGTGAACGAGTGGATGGCAGTCTCTCTATGTGCCTTTCTCATAAATAGATAAATCTCTCTCTTATTTAAAGATGTATTTTTTGGGACTGGTATGATGGCTTAAAGGGCTAATCCTCCCCCTTCAAGTGTCGGCATCTCATTTAGGCACTGATTCGCATCCCGGCTGCTCTGCTTCCCATCCAGCTCCCTGCTTGTGGCCTGGAAAAGCAGTCGAAGATGGCCCAAAGCCTTAGGACCCTATACCCGCATGGGAGACTCAGAAGAATCCTGGCTTTAGATTGGTTTAGCTCTGGCCATTGCGACTACGTGGGGAGTGAACCAGTAGATGGAGGATCTTTCTCTCTGTCTCTTCTCCTTTAAATCTGCCTTTACAGTAAAATAAAAAGTTAAAGATTAATTCTATTTTTTATTGGAAAGGCAAATTTGCAGAGAGGAGAGACAGCAGGAAAGATCTTCCATCCACTGGTTTACTCACCAAATGGCCACTGAGCCCATCTGAAGCCAGGAGCTTCTTCCAGGTCTCCCACACGGGTGCAGGTCCCCAGGCTTTGGGCCGTCCTCGACTGCTTTCCCAGGCCACAAGCAGGGAGCTGAATGGGAAGAGAAGTAGCCGGGACTCAAACTGTTACCCATGTGGATTCCTGGCACTGCAGGCATCAGCTTTGCCAGCTTCATCATAACCTGATCCCCATCACACAGGACCTTGGAACAGTGCCCTGGAACTAAGGGCGAGACCATCAGGCAGCCCAGCCCAGGCTGGCTGGCATCGTGCAGCCCGGGCACCCCTACAGTGCACAGCACTGTAGCCTGAGTTTCAGAAGGGTAAATTGGGCAAACTTGGGGGTGCTCCAGGCAACCCTGTTCATGACCCCACTCGTGCTGTTTTCCAGGCCCGAGCTGCTCACGGACGGTGTCAAGGAACACGTTACAGACGCCCAAGGTAGCTGTCACGGGCCGGGCACATGGCGGGTGTGGGAGGGCCCGACCTCCGCCACCTCCTCCTCCCCCTGCCTCCTCTGTCCTGGCCATTGCGACTGTCCTGGTGGCCTGTCGCCTCCCACCACGCACACATTGGCTTGCCCCACCCCTCCGCCCTCCCGATGTCACCTGGGGGTCCCGGGATCACCCCCTCACCCTGGTTTCTCTCCCTCGCCACCAGAGCGCGATGCTGGGGACCCCCTGGTGGATGATAGCCTGAAGAGACAGGGCTTTCAAGGTAAGATAGAAGGTGCCGTTGGCCTTGACCTTGCTTGGGGTGGAGGTGGGCCAGGCCAGGAGTTGAGTTGCCGTGAACAAGTCCGAGGGAAGCTGGACACAAGCCCGGGAGCAGCTGGCTCTGCACTGGGAGTTTACTAAACCCAGGAGGGATTCCTGAAGGAAGAGGCAAAATCAGGGCGAGCCCAGGAGGGTAGAGGCAGGGAAGGAGGAAGAGGTGGGCAAGGACCACAGGAAGGTCCCCAGGCGGAAGAGAGGAGTGGTTAGGAAGGCGCCAGGGTCTTGGGGGACAGGCAATGTCCTAAGCAGGCCACCTCCCACAGGTGATAGGATGCGGATATAAGCGGTGTCCTCCTCCATCCTGGGGTTGGGCAGCCCGTGTGTCCCTAAGGATGGGTGTCTCCAGGCTGGCCCTGCGTGGTCCCAGATGGCACACCAGGTGGCAGGAAGGGCCAGCCTCCCCGGGGAGGGGTGCCGAATCCCAGGAGGTCGTGACCTACTGCCTTCAGTCTCCTTCCAGAAAGTTCTATAATGAGGAGAGCCCTTATGTCTCTCCTCATCCCCCTCCACTGGTTTGCAGGACCCCATGCCCAAGCCCCTCCCTCCATGAGGATCATCTCGCAGAGGGCAGGGGGCCTGGCAGGGAGATGTGTCCGGGGACCCCATGGTGTAAGCCGGGGGATCACAGGGGCCCTTGTAAGCCCCGTGTACTGGAGCCGGTGTCCATTGGGAGCCCACCAGGCAGCATTGCTGTCTGTTGGGGGGACTGCACCTGCCACCCCATCCGGCAGAGCCACCTGGTCCACCAAGTGTGCCCCCTCCCTGCCCCCTGGCTTGCAGACCCTGGGCACGGGGCACCCCTGGGACTCGGATCTTGAATAGGCGGTTTATAAATGTCAACCGCTGGCCAGCAGCTGGGGCAACAGTGCAAGGGTTTCTGGGAGAACATGTGTCCCCGTGCAGGCATCCCTACACGCATGTCCTCGTGCGCACACGCGCAGACACACGAGCTCTAAAACTTTCCTCAAAGTCCTGGGCACGTGCACGTGCGCCCCGGCCCTACAGCCGCGCTTGTTTGTCCCTTGGCAGAGAACTACGACACCCGACTGTCCAGGATAGATATCGCCAACACACTCAGGGAACAAGTACAGGACCTGTTCAACAAGAAATACGGTGAGCCGGGGTCCTGCATGCACCACTAGGGAGGAGTGTACCTCCAGGACTCAGGGGTGGGGTGCAGGTGCTAGATAACAGGGTGAAGGACGGGCAGGGTGGGGAGGCAGGGTAGTCAGGCCCAGGCTGGATGAGTGGCCGTGCCAAGGCCCTGGGGCAGGTCCTGAACGTGGTAGGGGAGGGGCCGCAGGGGGAGCCAGCTGTGTGACTGAAGCAGCCAGGACAGTGGAGGGGAGGGCAGAGGCCAGGGAAGGGGGTGGCTTGGGCAGGGCTGGGCCACCAGTCGGAGGTGAGCCTATGAGGCTGCATGCATCCAGGAGTAGGGGGAGAGGGAACGGCGGGAGGCGGGGGGCGGGGGCACTTTGGGACTTCGAGTGAAGACCCAGTCACTGGGACTGCAGGCCAGGTGGCCAGAGCCGGGTCCTGCTCACTGTCTGGTGAGTTCCAAGTCCACAGCCAAGGCACCTGCCCGCACCGTGGCTGGCCATGGTCTGCCGTCTTCCTTTAACAGCAGCTCAGGGATGCCTTGGGTGTGTGTGTCCCGACAGTGTGGATAGCACCTCAGACTGGCAAAATGGCTGCAGGAGAGCCACCCATGCCATCTGCATCCAGAGGACTGTCTGCCCCTATGATTTCTGTTTTATTTTAGAGAGAGAAAAGGACAGACTCCCATTCTATACTTGGTTCAATCCCCAAATGTGTACCACAGCCCCTAGCTGGAGCCAAAGCCAGGAGATGCTGACACGCTCCACATCTCAACGTGGGCGGCAGAAACCCACGTGCTTGAACCATCACTGCTGCCCCGGAGTCTGTATTAGCAGGAAGCTCATGTCAGAGCCAGGGTCGGGGATTGAACCCAGATACCTCTGACATGCTAGGAGTGTCTTTTCTTATTTCTTTAAGATTTTATTATTTTATTGGAAAGTCAAGTATACAGAGAGGAGGAGAGAGAGAGAGAGGAAGATATTCCATCTGCTGGTTCACTCCCCAAGTGACCACAACGGCCAGAGCTGAGCCAATCCAAAGTCAGGAGCCAGGAGCTTCCTCTAAGTCTCCCACGAGGGTACAGGGTCCCAAGGCTTTGGGCCATCCTCCACTGCTTTCCCAGGCCACAAGCAGGGAGCTGGATGGAAAGTGGAGCAACAGGGACATGAACCCGGTGCCCATATGGGATCCTGATATTTGCAAGGCAAGGATTTAGCCTTTGAGCTGTCGCACCGGGCCCCTGCACAGCTTTTAAAGCAGCCGGATCTGCAGGGGTTAAAATGCCACTTACTGTAACCAGTGCCATGGCACAGCACGTTAAGCTGCCACTTGTAACACCAGCATCCCATGTGGGTACTGGCTTGAATCTCGGCTACTCCACTTCTGATCCAGCTCCCTGCTTGTGGCCTGGGAAAGCAGCTGAGGACGGCCCAAAGCCTTGGGACCCTGAACCCTCGTGGGAGACTTAGAGGAAGCTCCTGGCTTCGGAGCAGCTCAGCTCTGGCCATTGCAACTACGTGGGGAGAGAACCAGCTGATGGAAGTCTGAGAGCCAAAGCTGGGTACAGAAAGGGAACATGAGGTCTGAGTGGCACCCTCGCTGCCTAGCCCAGCCCTGCCTCCTGGCCCACAGGTGCCATCTGCCATCCTGGGTCCGGCTGCTGCTGACCAAGCAGAGCAGTGGTGAAGCAGGCTGAGAAGCAGACAAAACAGAGAAAGACTGGCTGCCGACAGGTGCCATCCTTGGGGTGGCCTCACAGCTGGCAGCGAGGCAGAGACCCATCGCTCCTTGTCCAGCTCGCATCCAACCCCCCTAGCTGCCAGCCCCACCCTCGCAAGCCCTGCCAGCACTCCGCTAGGCCCTCATGCGCCTTGCTTGCACACAGCCTGCCCCCTCCCTCATCCCTGACAGGCAGGACTTCCGCCTCTCGCCCACAGGGGAAGCCTTGGGCATCAAGTACCCGGTGCAGGTCCCCTACAAACGCATCAAGAGCAACCCTGGCTCTGTGATCATCGAGGGACTGCCCCCCGGGATCCCCTTCCGGAAGCCCTGCACCTTCGGCTCTCAGAACCTGGAGCGCATCCTCGCCGTGGCTGACAAGATCAAGTTCACTGTCACCAGGTACTGGGGTGGGGGGGAGGAGCTTGCACCTGCAGGCCCCATCCTGGAGCCTGGGATTTGGGGTGAGGGTGGTTGGAGAGGAGCAGCCGGCCATCTGAAGACATAAGGAACCCCCAAAATGGAGACCAGCACCCCCATCACAGCCCCCACAGCAAGGGCAGCCCCTGAGAGAGCAGTACACCCCAAACGCCCCTACTTGTGCTTGTTGAAGCAACCGTGGGCATGGCAGTAAGTCCTCCCCCCACCCCGGTGGGCTCCAAATTCCACTTCCCAGGCCCTCCCCTGACACCTCACTTCTGTCTCTCTCTTCCAGACCTTTCCAGGGACTCATTCCAAAGCCTGGTAAGAGACATGAGCTCTGGGACAGGGGGCTGCATGGCATGGGGGAGGTTGGGGTGCTGACCGGGGGCCAGAAGCCGCAGCGGAGCACACTGAGGGACACGGGTTCTGCGGGCCAGGGACAAGCACCAGCCCCAGCCTTTGTGTTCTCCTGGCTAGCCCTGAACACCTGCCGCCAGTGGATGGGGGTGGGCCAAGCTGGAGTCTGGCCCGGCTCCCTACGGCAGAGAAAGGGCTGGTGACTTTGGCATCTCAGTCAGGACTGAGGAGGGAGGGGCTGGGCCAGGCTTCCTCCTGATGGCTGACCCAGATGCCCGCCTGAGGCACAGGTAGGTTCCTGCCAGGATGGGAGAGAATTCCGGAGCTCCAGGCTGCGATGTGAGGGCAGCTGCCCAGTCCTGCATGATACAGGTCTCTGTGCACCCCAAAAGTATCCAGACTCCCAACCTCTGCCATGGGCAATCTCCCAACCTCGACCAAGGCTGTCTCCATACTCAAGGCTGCTCTGCTGGCCCCAGGACCTATGCATGGAGAGACGGGAAGCCAGCACCAACCCAGTGGTGCTTCTTGGTTGGGAGTGGAGTTGGGAGGGGCGGGGACTAGGACTAGGAGCAAGGTCCGGGCAGTTCCTGAAATGGCAGCGGGTCCGGGGAGGTACCTCAGCCCTAAGCCATCGCAAGGAGGCTGGACCCCTTTGCTGGACCCCCGCTGCTCGGCTTGGTGGATGTCCTGGAGGTGGCAGACTCCTTACTGAGCCGGTGGACAGCAAGATGTGGGATTTCAAGCGTTCCTGGAGTTGGGGAGGCAGGACTTAGAAAGCCAGACTGGAGGGTTAGGGCTAGGGCGTGGGGGCCGGAGGCTCAACCCACACAGGTACGGGAAAGATCAGGTGGTACCCAAGAGGTGAGCATGGCTAAATGCCTTCCTGCAATGCCTGCATCCCATAGGGGCACCGGTTCGAGTCCCAGCTGCTCCACTTCCCATCCAGCTCCCTGCTCATGTGCCTGGGAAAGCAGCAGAGGATGGACCAGGTGATTGGGTCCTTGCCACCCATGTGAGAGACCAGGCTTCTGGGTGCAGCTGGCCCAGCCCTGGCTGTTTGGAGGCATTTAGGGAGTGACCCAGTGCATGAAACATCTCTGTCTCTTCCCTCTAGTGCTCTGGCTTTCAAATAAATAGATCTTTAAAAAGGGAGGGGGAGCAACTAGTCTTACCAGAGCACGCAGGCTCAGAGAGGTAAGCAGTGTGCTTCAGGGTCACTCAGGGTGTGCATGCGTGTGTGTGTGTGTGTGTGTGAGAGAGAGAGAGAGAGAGAGAGAGATGTTCTTTTGCACCCCAGGCTGGCTCTGCCACCATCCCAGGCCTTCACGCCGGCCCCACCGTGTGGCTCTCTGCTGCCCCCTCCTGGCTGCCATCCGCTCCTACATTTGCTGCTGCGCCTGTCTCTTGTTAAGGTTCATGGCTGAAGGAAGGTCTTAAGTTATTTGGATCGAGGCGAATGGTGGCTTGGAGACTAGTGGGGGAGACAGCTCCATAGACACACAGGGTGTGGGGCCGGGAGACAAGCACAGCAGCTGGGGGGGGTGGGCCTGCAGGTTGATGTGAGATTGCCGCGGCTGAAGGAAGTTAGCACCTGAAATGTGGGAGGCGGGTCATCAGGAGTCGCCCTGTGCAAAGATTCTGGGCCATGAGGAAGTGAGAGAAGGGTGATGTCTGGAGTCAAGGTCTCATCCTGGATGGCCAGGGGGCGGGGCATTTGGCAGGCACAGCAAAGACACGCCGTGGTATCCTGCAGCCTCTTAAGAGTTGGAAAGTGAGGCAGAAAAGCACATGGGAAGTGGTGTTGGGCATGGGCATGCTGTGCTGGGCAGCAGGGACTAGGGCAGCCACAGCTGGTGTTGAGCAGGTTGGCAGACGTTGGCAGGGCACCCAGACCTGCCAAGAACTGGCCACATTTTGCTGGGCAGCAGACATCAGGAAGGGGCTGAGAGGTGGAAGTTAGGAAGGGGAACTGGAACCCTGACAGCAGGTGGCACTGGGGTATCAGGACAGAAAGTTCTGGAACGGTCACACTTGAGCTTGTCCCCAAAGCCAGCCCCACAAGCTCATGAGACACTTTAGGGTCATGTGAGTGGTTGGCAGCAGCCCAAGGGGCCCTCAGGGCTGGGGCCAGCAGACAGTGCCCCGGGCACAGCTGCTCTCCGGGCTACCCCAGGAGGAACTTGGAGGTCAGAGGAACTGACTCTGGCAGGAGCAGTGAGGCAGCCATTTTCATATGCTGGGAGAGGAGGCGATGTCCTTCTGGGCCTCGCTGAAGGGAAGGTAGCAGTGCAGAACATTCCAGAACTGTGGTTTTGAAGAGCCTTGGGAGGGAGGGAACTGCCTGTCCCCACGGTCGCTTAAGCTGAGGTTGAGTAGGATGGTGACCTTTCCTTTCCTCTTCATTCTCCTCCTCTTTGCCCCCCATCACCCCTTCCCAAAAGCAGGGCACCCCTTTCCCCCACCGAACCCAGAGGCAGAGCAGAGCTGCCGACTTCCTGTGCGACTCCAGCAAGTCTGGTTTGCCTGCCTGGGCCTCCATCTCCTTGCATACACCAAGGTCTGGCACCTCGGGATGGGGGTGAGGGGAGTGGGCAAACCAAGCCCAAAGCCAGGAGGAGGGCTGAGCCAGCAGGAGCGCGAGGGAGGCGGCGAGGTGAAGAGGCCGGCCAGGCCGGAGCGCGGAGGGCCTGGAAGGCCTGGCTTTGCAGCGTGGACTGGACCCTGCAGGCCTGGCCTTGGCAAGCTCTCCCGCTGACGCCCCCACGGCCGAGGAGCCTGGAGCACCTGGCAGGCCACACAGTGCCAGTGGGAGGAAGGGGCAGCTTTGTCAAGGAGGTCCCCGCTTAGTCTGCTCTAAGGACTTCTAGCTAACTGTCCCCTCTCAGGAGCCCCCAAGCTGCTTCATTCTGCCCAGTGCCACCTGCGACCCAGTTCAACTGCCAGGTGGAGGGTGGCCATCCCACTGGCAGGAGCTCTCCAAAGGCAGTGGTGCCACCTCCATCCAGACGGAACCACGTTGGGTGGACTTCCTAGGAAAGGGGACATTTCCTGGGCCGTGATGGGGTAGGGGAAGTGGGGTGTTGTGGAAAGGGCTGAGCGGTCGTAAGGGCAAGAACACCGGCTCTATCTGTGATCCTGGATAAATGTAACGTCCTGTGCTCTTGGATGAGTTAACTCACTATCTGTGATCCTGGATAAGTTAACTTCCTGTGAATCTGGATGAGTTGACTTGTCATCTGTGATCCTGGTTGAGTTGACTCGCACTCTCTGGATCTCTGCTTCCATGTGGTCTTGTGGAATGGGGGTGCTCTCTGAAGTGTCCCCTGCTCTCCTCCCTTCTGGGTGCCCTCTGCAGTGCCCCCCTCACCCTCTTCCCTTCTGCTGGTCATTTCTTTCCCCCTAGTCGCACACCCACTGCCTCCTCTGACCCAGCCTTCCCCAGCCCCCGGCTCCCTTCCAATTCCGTCAAGCTCTCAGGAACTCAAAACCATCCTTTCTCAAGGTTCTAAAGATAGCCCCGGCTCCCGCGCCAGCCACATGTTTCTCCACTTAATTATCCTGCTTCGGCTTGTTAATTAGACTCTCCCTCCTGCCTGCCCTGGAAAAGCTGGCGGTTGTAGGGTAGCGTCCAGCTGCCAGCCTCACGTCTGGCCCAGCTCCCCCTGTTTTCTGCAGACGCCGAGTGGGTCCTGGCATTCTGGAATATCAAAATTGTTAGGTTTTTAAATGCACGTAAAGTTCTTAGCTGTTACGCATAGCTAATTCCCACAGCCGAGTCCTTAAACTGAAAACACCAGACAGTGAGATATTAGGAGGTCCTTTTATTCCGACAGGGTAGGAACGGCAGCGGGGGTACAGGAGGAGAAAAGTAGAGGGGACCCTTGGTGGCAGGATGGGGCGCCAGGGCAGGACAAGGGGCAGGATGGAGGACGGGAGAGAGGCTAGAGAAGGGGAGGGGCCAAAGCCCTGGGGTCACCTGCCAGGGTGTTGGGGCACAGATGCCAGAGGCCTTGCCGATGGACCAAGTTGCGTGCACAGTTGCAAGCAGAGGACAGGTAGACCTGGCTCTTCTCAAAATGTGCTTTCCATTGTATTTGAAAGGCAGAGAGAGAGAGAGAGAGCGCGCTTGCAACCACTCTTTCACTTTTCAAATGCCCACAAGCTCCAGGCAGGAGCCTGGAGCCAGAAACTCCACCCGTGTTTCCCATGTGGATGGCTGGGCTCCTCTGAGCAAATGGGCCGTCATCTGCTGCCCATCCCCCACCCCCCGAAGCTGAACCAGCAGCAGAGGAGCCAGGACTACCAAATGGCATCCTGACCTCTGTGTCCAAAACATTCCCCTTCCCTCTCCTCCTGGAAGGCTCGCTGGCCCAGGTGCGAGGCTACAGACAGATGGGGCCAGTCCTGTCTGTGGCCACAGGGCTGTGAGTCACAGAGCGAAGGTGCATTTTATGCTAAAGCAGCAGAATTCAAAGTCTGGGCTGTGGGCTGTGGGAAAAAGGCATTGGGTTGGACCACACTGCGCTTGAGCCAGGACAGGAGGCGGAGACATGGCACTGGGGGAGGGTTCGGCTTGGGGGAGAAGGGAGGAATGGGGGAGGCTGTTATTAACCTGCAGGGGAGCTGTTCAGACTTGAGGTGTCATTTGGGGAAGCAGGAACCTGGAATTGGTATTTGCAAGCCCTGGGACAGGGTGAGGTCATCTAGGTATGAGTTCAAGGGCAGGGATGGCTCCAGGCCAGATGCTGAGATCATCAAGAATGGGGAGAAGAGGAGGAGGGTGTGATCCTGGAGCTCAGGGGCACCCCACTTTTCCCCCCAGGGCTGAGCCCCCCTCCACTTGTTGCCGGAAAGCACCCGGAGCCAGCCAAGAGACTGAGCAAGGAGTTTGGGTTCAAGGTCAGGGTCATAGTGGCTTCTAAGGTCCCGGGGAGGAAGGGGAAGTGGAGCTTCCTAGATGTGCCCCCCCTGTAAGCTCTGGAATCCAAGAACCACCACATTGTGTCACGTGCCACCTCTCACTCAGGCAGCAGCAGGGAGAGTACAGTCCCCAAGACAGTGGCCTGGGATTGGCTTTGTAGATGTCAGGGGACAGACGTGTGTTTTTTTCCTGTTTTATTTGAAAAGCAGAGAGAGCAGTTCTAGCCACTGGTTCACCTCCCAAAGGCCAAAGGCTGGGGATGAGCCAAGCTAAAACCAGGAGCCTGGACCTCCATCCGGGTCACTCATGGGTGACAGGGACCCAAGTACTTGAGCCATCAACTGCTGCCTGCCAGGGTGGGCAAGAGGAGGGAGCTGGACAGGGGCTTGAGGAGGTAAGGGGAAAAGGAGCCAGGACTTGAGTCAGACCCTGTGATGTGCCCTATGCCCGCTCACATGTGGGCATCCTTACTGGTCCCTGTGCAGCCTGAGTAGGGGTCTCTGTCTCTCTTGAGGGTCTGCATGTGGCTGGGGACCCATAAGACAAGGAGGAGGGGGCCCTCATGGTCAGGATCAGAGGCGCCTTGTGTACGCAAGGGGAGAGAGAGTGGGACGAGCTCACCCCGCCAGTGCGTGCAGGTGGAGAGACAGAAATATCTTCCATCCGCTGGGTCACTCCCCAAACGATCACCACTGGCAGAGAGCTGAACAGTCTGAAATCAGGAGCCAGGAGGTTCTTCCAGGCCTGCCATGCGGGTGCCAGGCCCCAAGGACTCGGACCATCCTCTGCTACCCTCCCAGACCATTTAACAGAGAGCTGGATCAGAAGTGGAGCAGCCAGGACTTGAACTGGCGTCCCTATGGGATGTCAGCACCACAAGCAAAGGATTAGTGTGCTACGCCACTTTCCAGCCACCGAATGTTTCCTTCTTCCTCTTGCCTATGTAACCCACTGCCTGCACCTGCTGTCTCCCGCCCAAGAGAGATGCTGAAGCCCTGCCGGGCACACCTGGCCTTGACCAGCCTTGGGGATGGGGCAGGGGGTGGAGGGGAGGGGAGAAAGGGAAGGAGCAGGAGTGAGACTCACGCCCATGCCCCAGCCGGGCGCTTGCTCGAACCCCTGCCCAGGGGTGGGGCTGCCCTCGGATGGGAAGGCGGGAACTTAGTGCAGATCCATGTGGAGGCAGGGCCCCCCCCCCCAGGCTGGTGAGCCATTATCTGCTGCCTCCCAGGGTGCACGCTAACAAGAAGCTGGGCTTGGGAGCAAAGCCAGGACCTGCATCCTGGGCCCTCCCATATAGGATGTGGGAGTCTAGATGGCAGCTTAACTGCGTGTCAAATGCCAACACTTTAGAAAAGCGTTGGCAAAGAGTATTGAAGCTTCCACCTGCTGCTTATCTTCCAGTCACCCGCGGAGAATGCGATGCAGGTCTCCCATGTGAGTGATGGGAACCCAATTACTGAGCCCTCACCCCTGCCTCTCAGGGTCTACATTGGCAGAAAAACCTGGAGCCAGAACCAGGGCTCGAACCCAGGCCCTCTGATGTTCCAAGGGTGTTACTTGAGTGGTTTTGATAGTTCCAAGACATGATTGGTTTTGCTGCTCCAAAGTTGAGAAAGTCCTTTCAGTCCATTGGCTTAGAGTCCACCCCAGTGCATCCACTCACCCAGATGCTTGCTGCCAAAGCTCAGCCAGCAGTGTTATCCAACCTGTTCTGCTCTCCATCTTCTGACATGCCACTCAACGTCCTCTGCAAGCCTAAATGAGCTGGCCGTCTTGTCCTCCAGGTGCACCTGGACATGCCAACACTGCCCAGGCATCAGCAATCGAGGAGGCCCAGTCCCCGACACATGTACTCCAAGGTTGGACCACAAACCCTCTGAGTCCAGAGGCCCAGCTGGGTGGGGAGTCTCCCAAGAAACATCACCTGGGGTGGCCCCAGCGTTCTTGCATGTGCCAGCCAGTACAGAGTCCAGTTCAGTCCATCACCCATCTCAGCCTACATGCACGCTGGTGATTGTAGTTGTCTGGTCAGTTCCTTCTCCAGCCCTGCGGCCCAGCCCAACCCAACCTGCCACAGACCTGGTGGTCACTTTCTACAGATGGAGAGACTGACTCTCTGACAACTCAGGGCTCAGGGTCAAGGGCAAGGTCAGGCCTGGGACAGGTCACTTTTGTGTGGCCTGAGACAAGCAGCTGAGCCTCTCTGAGCCTGTCTGGATTCCAAGGTCAGGGGTGTGGACATTACCAGATAGGGACCTACAGCAGCAGGGTCGGGAGGAGGTATGGGGTGTCCACCCTAAGATTTAGGTCTTCCCCCTCCCCCCGCTACCAGCAGAGTTAAAGGGCAGGCGAGGAGTGCCACCCCGCAACTTCCCACCTACAGAGGTTGAGTCAGAGGACAGAGCTGTTTCCAGGTTGCCTCTGGGCTAGCCAGAAATGAACTCTACCACGTGTTTCCAAGATGAGAACAGGAGCTGTTTTGTTCCAGAGACACCCCCCCCCCCACACACACACACACACACTACTTGCTGGTTGGTCCTGTCCCCAGTGGCCCTGACCCAGCCTATCTCACAGCTCCACCCCACCCCCACCCTATGAAACCGGCTCAGGACTTCCCACTGTACAAGCCATCACTGGGCCAGGTCCCAGCGGTGGGTGGATGTGGGGGAGTTGGGAAGGGCCAAGCTAGGTTCCCTGCAGAGCATGCTGGACACAGCCTCCCCTTGTCCCGCTGCAAGTCAGCCACGCCCAGGCTTTGGGTTCCTCCCCTAGCCTCTGGTGTCCATCACAAACCATCCCCACCCCCACCTTTCCATGGTCTGTTTTGCTTCCTGCTCTCCTGGGAGTGGGGGGTTCCCCAGCCTGACCAAGTATTCTGAGTCTCCTGTCACATCCCAAGTAAGGGGGAGGCACTGCAAGCAGTTAGCAGCCCCCCAACCCCCAGGCCAGACGCTTCCATGGCTGGAAGCCTTGCTGGGGACATTGTGGGAAGGAGAGGTGGGCATTTGACTTCTCATGTAGGAGACTGGGAAGCTCACGTTGGAGTGCCCGGGGTTCGAATTCTGGCTGTGCTTTCTTCCTGACTCCAGTTTCCTGGAAACCACAGGGGATGACTTAAGTACCTGGGTCCCTGCCACGCATGTGGGAGACCTGCACTGGTTGGGAGTGTGAACCAGCAGATGGGAGATCTCTTTTTCTGTAATTCTGCCTTTCCAATACATAACTAAAAATTGGACTTTAAGTGGGGAGAGGCCACAGGCCGGACACAAGGGGATAGCATGCTCATCTGTCTACGGCATTGTCAGCCCATATGGGCACCAGTGTGTGTCTCGGCAGTCCCACTTCCCATCCAGCTTGGGACCTAGGAAAGCAGCAGAGGATGGCCCAAAGCCTTGGGACCCTGCACCCGCGTGGGAGACCCAGAGGATGCTCCTGGCTCCCAGTTTCTGTCTGTGAGCTCAGTTCTAGCTGTTGCAATCATTTGAGAAATTAGCCAAAAGATACAAGATCTGTCTCTTCTCTCTCTCTAGCTCTGGGTCTCTCTATAAGCAAACTGGGTCTCTCTTACAAAAGAAGGAAAAGGGGGTGGGGCATGGTGTCATTAAGTAAACGCTTAGAAAAGACAGGGCCCAGTGCAGTGATTAAAGGGCCTTGCATGCACCAGGATCCCATATGGGAGCTGGTTCATGTCCTGGCTGCTCTATTTCCCACCAAGTTAGCTCCCTGCTTGTAGCCTGTGAAGGCAGTAGGGGATGGTCCAAAACCTTGGGACATGTGCCTGTGTGGGCGACCCAGATGAAACTCCTGGCTTCGGATCCACTCAGTTCTGGCCATTGCAGCCATTTTGGGGGGAATGGACCAGCAGGTGGAAGGTCTTCTCTCTGTCTCTCCTTCTTTCTGTATATCTGCCTTTCCCATCAAAGTAAATAAATCTTTTTTAAAAAAAAATACAATAGGAGAAAGAAGGATGGACAACTGAAACCAGAAACCGCAGAGTGGGCCCGCAGGAGAGCCTGCGCCCCACGCCCACCCCAAGGTCAACAGTGCTGTGTGCTGGGGAGGGCCAGGTCCTGCGGCCGGAGCCCAGGGCCCACTCTCATGCCCCGTCTTGACCTTGTAGATGAAGATGACGCCAACAGACTGGGTGAGAAGGTGATCCTGCGGGAGCAAGTGAAGGAGCTGTTTAATGAGAAATACGGTCAGAGCCGCCCCTGTCCCTCACCCCGCCGGCCAGCCTGCTCCCTGGGCTCCCCCCACAGCCAGCAGGGCCCGGCCTCTGACAGGGGCCTCTTCCGGCTGTGCTCTGCAGGCGAGGCCCTGGGCCTGAACCGGCCTGTCCTGGTCCCTTACAAACTCATCCGAGACAGTCCGGACGCCGTGGAGGTCACGGGCCTGCCCGACGACATCCCCTTCCGGAACCCCAACACCTACGACATCCACCGGCTGGAGAAGATCCTCAAGGCGCGGGAGCATGTCCGCATGGTCATCATCAACCAGCTCCAGTGAGGGCCCGAAGCGGGGTGGGCGGGGCGCAAGGGAGGGTGGGCGGGGACTGCCGAGTGGGTGTGGCACAAGGGTGGAGCGTGTCCAGGTGGGTGGGGCACAGGGGTGGAGCGTACTGGGATGGGCGGAGCATGTCCAGGTGGGTGGGGACTGCCGAGTGGGTGTGGCACAAGGGTGGAGCGTACTGGGATGGGCGGAGCATGTCCAGGTGGGTGGGGACTGCCGAGTGGGTGTGGCACAGGGGTGGAGCGTACTGGGATGGGCGGAGTGTGTCCAGGTGGGTGGGGACTGCCGAGTGGGTGTGGCACAAGGGTGGAGCGTGTCCAAGTGGGTGGGGCACAGGGGGTGAGTGGGGACTGCCGAGTGGGCGTGACACAGGGTGGGGTGGGCGAGGCTTACCAAAGTGAGAGGACTGCACCGAATGGGCGGGACCTGTGAGTGGGGCCGTCCAAAGTGAGCGGGGCATGCTGAGTGGGCGTGGCACAAGTGCTTGGCGTGTCGGATTGGGCCAGCCACGTGGGTGGGCGGGGCTAGGGCTTCCCACCTGCCTGAAACTGATGGCCCAGCAAGGAAGGGAGGGTTGGCTGAGACCAGACCCAGGTGTCCTGACAGCAGCCCTCCAAGGGTTTGCATTAAATTGTGATTTTCCCTGACTGGGCTGTTCAAACACTTTTGGGTCAGTACTCCCTTCGCCAGGAGGAAACAAGTGCCTGTTCTTTATCGTACACCTTTATACTCTTCTTTTTAATACATCAGCATGATTGCTTATTTAAAAGAACTTAGGGAGGCGCTGGTGCCTTGGCTCAAGTGGCTAGTACGCTACCCTCAAGCACTGGGATCCCATATGGGCACCAGTGTGTGTCATGGCTGCTCCACTTTCCATCCAGCTCCCTAGTTGTGACCTAGGAAAGCAGTAGACCATGGCCCGAATCCTCAGAACCCTGTACCCATGTGGGAGACCCAGAGGAGGTTCCCAGCTCCTGGCTTTGGATTGGCTCAGCTCCAGCCATTGCAGCCATAAGGGGAAAGAATCAACGGATGGAAGATCTTTCTCTCCTTCTCTCTGTAAATCTGCCTTTTCAATAAAAATTAGCAAATCTTAAAATATATGTATATGTACAGGCTGAGATGTTCCATCCAGTGATTCTCTCCCCATGTGCCTGCAACAACAAAAGCTGGGGTCAGTTCAAAGCCAGGCGCTCCATCTGGATCTCCGGCACTGACAGGCAGAGGTCTCCATACTCGGGCAGCTTTCTGGGGCGCACTAACAAGCAGGTGGGTGGGAAGCCAAGCCCCTAACACTCAAGCCGCCACTCTGATCTGGGATGTGGGCATCGCAAGAAGCAGCTTGGTCCACTGCACAACAGCCACAGCATTTTAAACACCATACGAGGGAGCCCGCATGACTGCATGGACTGTGTGCATCAGACAACACCCTCACTTGATACTTGATGGATCTGAAATGGGACCTCGTGGGGCCAGGCCTCACCCAGCTGCAGCAGTAACATTTTATCTAAAGGGGCTGCTCCGTGGAGGAGGCAACACCTGCTTTTCTGACGGCTGCCTTGTGTGTCTCTCTCTTTCAGGCCTTTCGCAGAAATCTGCAATGATGCCAAGGTGTCAGGTGAGTCAGAGGCCACCCTTCCACCTCCTAAGGACCAAGGCCTGTGGGCCTCATGAAGACTCACACACACGTGGGCTGGGTGGGCACACCGTGGATGGCCAGCCATGTGTGCAGGAAAGCAGGGCTCCTGTCCTGCCCTGGGAGTGTATGGAAAGCTGCAAGAACAGGCAAGGCACTGTATGGACTGCAGGTACCCTGCCTGCACTGGCACAAAGCGGAGAGTCAGCCTGGTTGGCAAGGAGAAATGACAAGCCAGAAATGGGGGCCTGGTCCTTGAGCAGGATTGCACAGTTACCCTGGGTAGGGGAGTGATGGACATAAGACTCCACGGGGGTCAGGCCGATGGACACTGCCCTAGCCTGGTTCCATTCTGTGCACAGGCACATAGAGCCTCCCCACAGGTACCTGGGGAGCAGGTGCCTGGGGCGAAGGCTGTGACAGAGAATCCACCCCTGGGGATCCTGACCAAGAAATAGATCCCACTGCAGGTGTTTGGCCCAGCAGCCTGTGTGCGGACTCTCTCAGCAGCCTTGCAAGATCTTAAGTTTTATCCCAAAGGAAACAGACCCAGGCTTTAAGCTCCATGGTCGCACTCACAATCATGGTTATGGTCACGCTGTACTCTTCCCAGAATCCTTTGAAGGTGGGGGCTGGTGGGCTGCCAGACCTCCTAGGCAAGAAGCTCGAGGGAGGGGGCTGGGGCAAGGCCAGAACCCCACATTGTCAGTGGGCCAGGGAGATGCCCCTGTTGGGAAAGGGACAAAGTGGGAGCCAGAGGGTGAAGTCAGACCTGGTTATACAGACCCAGGCTGGACAATGACCTTAGTTGGGACTTGGGGGCAATGCCGAGCATGGGGATGGGATACAAGGCCTTTCCCAGGCCCCTGACATCCATCACCGACATCCCTTTCTCCCAGCAGCCAAAGATAGCAGCCTGCCCAAGCGCAAGAGAAAGCGGGTATCGGAGGGCAATTCCGTCTCCTCTTCCTCTTCCTCCTCCTCTTCCTCATCCTCCAACCCAGAGTCCGTGGCATCGGCCAACCAGATATCAGTCGTGGTAAAGTTGCCCGCTTCCAGATTCTATCCCCTCCCTCAGAATGTGGGTTCAGGGTCCCCGGGGGGAGGTGGGACTCTGATGCCCCTGCACCTGCCTAGCCCACCCACCAGGTGGTCTGGCCCATTTATTCAGAAGGGAATGCGGGCAGGAATCCCCATGCCCACTGGACAGATGGGCAAGCTGAAGCCAGGAGCAGGAAGGGACTAGCCATGCCCCTGGGGTGGTGCCTGAGCTGGGCCAGGGCAGGCTCCTGGAGTCCCATAGAGATTGGGTGTCACCATATCTGCATGTGCTTTGCCACAGCCCTGGCCGTGTGCAAAGGTCACCCAGTGTGCCAGTGGGGCAAGTGGGGGTCAGGAGGTGGCACAGCCTGACCTGTCAAGAAGACAGCTTGCCAAGCCCCCTCTGATCTGCACGGAGTCGCAAGGGGGTGAATATTGGGTCGCATTTAAAAGTGGACTTTCTCATCGTTGTGCCGTGTCTCCCTTCCATCCCTCCCTGGAGAACCCCAAAGTCAGGTAGCTCCTCCTCTGATCCCATCCACCCGGGCTCCCCTCTCTCTCCTCCTGCCCACCACCCCAGGCAGGCAGGACAGCCTGGCAATGTAAGCCCCTGGGACTCAGGTTGCGGAGGCAGTGTGCCAGGCAGTGTGGTAGTGGCCTTGGAAGAAGCTGCGGAGCAAGCAGAGCTTGGGGGCTGGGCAGGGGCAGCAGAGGTGGCTTGGCCTGCGTCCTAATCGCCTCATTTGTCCCCTTCCACAGCAGTGGCCGATGTACATGGTGGACTACGCTGGCCTGAACATGCAACTGCCAGGGCCTCTTAACTACTAAGACCTCAGTACCAAGCCACGACCTCACTCAGAAAAGACTAAAGGAAATGTAATTTATGTACAAAATGTATATTCGGATATGTATCGCTGCCTTTTAGTTTTTCCAATGATTTTTACACTATATTCCTGCCACCAAGGCCTTTTTAAATAAGTAAAAAGGGAAAAAAAAAAAAAAAAACAACCACCACAAGTGTTAGCTCTTTGCTTCTCTGCAGTGGGTACCCTGGGTCTCTCTCTGGAAGTTGCAGCCACAGCTGTCATGGGACACTTTGGTTCAGATGGTCTCCTGGGGCTCCACCTTCATGGCCAAACACACCATGTCACTTGTGGCTTTGCTGCCCCCAGGGGCGTGACCTCAGGATGGACAGCCACAGAAGACAGGAGTGGCCTGGACAAGCCTCCCACCGCCCTAACATCACCAGTTCTGCAGCCACGGTTCCGTCCCCTCCCTGTGGCCTGAAAACCAGACCATCAGCGCAGGGACAGGCAGGAAGAGCCTTGGAGAGCACATGGGGTGGGAGGGGACACTGTCAGAACCCCAGGAACTTTGCAGGGCTGGGCAAGGCTGGGGCTGGTTCAAAGGCATCTTGCAAAGGAGGGGATGAAATAGAGTGTGGAACCCAGTCAGAAGAGCCCGACTGCTGTACGAAGCCTGGCCTGTGATGACCGTCTAGTGGACCTAACTTGCCTGCCCTCCTTGGCTTGGAGGGGGAGAGGATTTGGGGACAGCCCCCAAACCAGAATCACTCTCTGCTGGTATCAAAATCAGGACAAGTCCTTGGAGCTGAGACTTGGAGAGACAGCTGGATATTGGCAGGATCCAAGAAGAGAGGGTGGGGAGGGTGTTCTGGGAGGAGGCAGCAGCAGGTGCATCCCTGGGATCGGGCCTGCGCACAGGGGCCACGCTGAGGGAATGACAAGAGGCTCAGGCAACAGGGCTGTGACGGCCAGCAAACAGGTAGGGTCACGGGGCTGCCTGCCATGCGCCCAGCGCAGCCTGCCATGCGCCCAGTACAGCCTGCCATGTGCCCAGTACAGCCTGCCATGCGCCCAGTGCAGCCTGCCATGTGCCCAGTACAGCCTGCCATGCGCCCAGTACAGCCTGCCATGCGCCCAGTGCAGCCTGCCATGCGCCCAGTGCAGCCTGCCATGCGCCCGATGCAGCCTGCCGTGTAGAGGACCAGAAACCTGATTCAGCTATGTGCCATCCACCTGGGAGCTTCTGTCCATCTCCCGGGGGCTGGGAAGAGAAGCCTCAGCCCAGAGGTTCAGATTCTGTTTCGTCCTGGTACACCCTTCCTTGACCGCTGCAGTCAGCTGTCCCCTCCTCCTTCCCACAGTTCCCCAAGACCCAGACCCCTCCATCCTCAGTTCCTGCAATGGACTAGGTCCCCTAAGGGGCCCCATCCCCTCCTCAGAGAAATTGCTACGGAAATCAAGAAGGTGTCCCCTCGCACCTGTCACCTGGCCCTCTAACCTCCTGAGACTCCCACCTGTAGCCCCTTGCTAATCCAAAGGGCATTTTCACGTTGTGATGTTTCAGGCCTCCCCTCCTCACCTAGCCCCCCCATCCCTCAGCTTGTCCTCCCTTCTTTTTCCAAGGCTGGAGCCTGCAACCCAGCCCACCTGGCAGCTACTGGCACCCATCCGTCTCCCACAGCCCACACCGGCCCACTCCCCTCATTCTAGGCAGTCAGGTCTGCAGCCACAGCCAGAAGTTACTTCTGGCTGGCTGGGTCCGCTGTGGGGCAGACAGTGGCCTCGGGCTTGTTGGGATCTGCTGGCAGTCACAGTGCCCTGGGACCGTGCTGGGCCAGCCTCAGAACCAGCTCCATCCATCCTTTGTGCAAATGCATGCAGCAAAGTAGGTCGGCTGCAGCAGCCTCAACCCAGATGAAGCGCGAGGGTGCAGACGACCCCCACCCCAAGGCTTTGGGGAGCCCTGGCTGGTACCCCTGCATTACAACAAGAGGTTCCAGGTCTGGCCCAGGTTTGGCCCCATCAACCCCCCCAGAATCTCCACCACGAACAAAACCTAAGTGCGCAGGCCCCCAGACGCAGTTTATGCAAACACTGCATCCCAACACACTCAGATTTCTAGAGAGATTTTCCATCCGCAGCCCTGGTTCTTTAATTAAACTTCATTTAGTTGCCATCTGTCGCCCAAACGAAATGACTTGGTGTTTTGCAACTCGACACTGAGAATTGTTATTGGGTATGTAAACACATGCCCCACCCCCATCTCCCGGAGGGGGCGGTGAAAAAAAAAATCAGAAAGCAGTTCTGCTTTCAAAAGTGCTAAGTGAGGGATGTGGGGAGGAAGAGCTGGAGCTGCGTGGTAAACACGCTAATTGCAGCGGGAGGGGGGTTGGGTTCCACCCCGCACCCAGCCGTTGGGTACACAGAGCCTTTTGTGTCAGAATCTGCTCCCCAGAGGAGATGGCGATGATAGAAAACGCTGGAATTAGATCCGACTGAAAACAGCAATAAAGCAATAAGCTAAGGGGAAGGCGGGGTGGAGGGCCTGCGGAGGGGAGTGGCAGTCACAGTGTTAGCACATGCCGCCCGTGGGGTGGGGGTTGGGGGACAAGTCCGCCGGTGCCAGGCCTAGGTGGACGACCAAACGCCCTCCTTGGCAGGTATTCCCAACCATCCTGCTGAATCCCCATTTGTGGCCAAAGAGTGGCCCTATTTATTGTTTTTAATTTTTTTTAAAAATGTATTTATTTTTATTGCAAAGGCAGGTGTACGCAGAGAAGGACAAACAGAAAGATCTTCTATCCACTGGCTCACTGCCATGGCCAGAGCTGAGCCGTTCTGAAGCCAGGAGCCAGGAACTAATTCTGGATCTCCCATGTGGGTGCAGGATCCCAAGGCTTTGGGTCGTCCTCGACTGCTTTCCCAGGCCACAAGCAGGGAGCTGGATGGGAAATGGAGCAGCTGGGATATAAACCAGTGCCCATATGGGATCCCAGCAATTGCAAGGCAAGGAATTTACCACTAGGCTATCACACCAGGGCCCCCTGTGTATCTTTTTTTTTTTAATTTATTTATTTATTTGAAAGGACTCCAGAGAGAAGAGAGAAATCTTCTACCCACTAATTCATTC